GCGTATTAAAGAGCTGTTAAAAGTCTAGAATACAATGAAAGGTGGCGCAACAGCTTGCGAAAAGGAATAAAAGGATGTTGGGGTGGGGAGGGGAGCGGCGCGGGGTCGATGCTTAAAAAGCGAGCGCTCGGCCGGTAAAGGCGAAACTTCCGATTTTAATCTAGGCCTCGCGTTGACATCCAGATCCGACGTGAATACGATTCATTTAGTGTTCACCTGTTGCTCCTGCCCTTGTCGCTTTTCACAATGGACGATCGAATAGCGCCGCAACAGCCTGTTCCCCGGCTCAAATCCTCGTTCCAGTCGCTCCAGTTTATCGCCGCGCTCAGGAAAAACACAGTACGAACGTTCGGATATTGCCAAATTTCCCAAGATCAAATACGATTTGTATCAAAAACTTTCAAATATTTTTCTGTAATTTTTTCGAGAATTTTGTTCACTCCAGCGCATCTGAAAAAGTATGGTAATACGCAGCGGCGTGGCGTGCTTTGCGCTGTATCGATCGATCTGCCATTTAAACGTATGGAAAAGGATCGATCGACAGGGTGTTTGCAGCGAACGCTTTAATAATCGATTCTTTACCATAACTTAAAATGGGGGAATATCGATAATGGATCATTCACGCCTCACGACTGGTAATAATTCCCATTTTTTTCATCCAAGATAATATCTGACCGGATTTGCGAAAAAAGAACTTTACCTCCAGGAGAAGACTTCCTGGAAAAACCTCTAGGGAAAAATTCCGAAACCAGCTATTTTGAATTCTCAACAAAAAATGCACTCTAGAAGCCTTTTGGATTAAGTATAAGTTTTCTCTTCACAGAGAGCGCTACCTGCTCTTTTTCTCTGTGCATGTCAGAATTCTTAATCTAAAACTTAAGAATTTTAGTTTCTTCAAGACGTCATTTCCTCTTCAATATTTGAGCTTTCAGGGTCAAACTTACGCTAAAAATTGTCTTATTTTATGCAGTACTAATAACTCAAATTTGAGTGTTCATAAAGTAAGGTCCCTTTTCATAGATCCGGTCGCATATTTTTCTTTGAATTTTTCTGTGAATAATTTTGTTCGCTCTCCAGTCCAGCGCATCTGAATATTTTCATTGTACATATGTAATGTTTTTCTCAAAAATAAATATTTCATCGCAAGAAATTGGCAACAATGAAACGTTGAAACGTTGTTCTGACCTGAGTACCTTTATACCCTAGGGAGAGTATTTGCATGTCTGTGCCACTCTCTGATTCGTTCATCAGTTGTAGATTTTTAATGGGGCTCTTGAGGACCGGTGTAATCGATCCCGATCAAGAGGAATGAATGATACTCACAGAAAAGGGTAATTTTTTTCCAAGAGAAACAAGCTACCTGCTGTACAGCGTGAATTTCGACAACTTTCGAATTTCGTCACTTAAAGGTACCAAAAAAGCACTGGATTTTTCTGCGTATGAGGTACTGAAATTTTTGAAAAGGCACTGAAAAAATACTATACTTAATATTTGCCAGCCAGCTTTAGTAGACACCCTATTTATGCGACACAAAAATCCCGATAAGGAAAGTCGACAGTTTCGAAAACGCCTTCAATTGTGGCGTAATACCTCACGCATTCCGTAGAGTGCGAATAGTTGTATCGTTGCGCCTTAGCAATGCGACGGAAGATTGACATTGAAGTAGCCTCCACGATGGTCTTATCAGTTTTCCTTTGCCGCTATTGCAGTTTTGACCGCATATTCTAAGTTGGCTCAAGCCAGGATTGTATTTAGCACATGAATAATTTTTATGGAAGAATTAATAACATAAATAAGCGGAAAGAAATATAACTAAATAAACGAAACTCAAATCAACATTAAAATACAAAAAGTCCAGTAAAAAATGTGTATACAAAACTGAAATAGAACGAAAACACATCCGAGCAAATTACACGCTCATTATTAACTGAAACGAAAGCTGTAAACAAAAAATTATAACAAGGAAATGTGCGCATATAACTGTTTCACTAGCTCGTAAGGTCAGTCAGTCCACTTATTTCATGCTCAGAATTTTATGCGACACGAGAATTCCGATGTGGAAAGTTGGTTTTGAATGAAAACGCCTTCAATTTTGGCGTGATACCTCACGCATTCCAGAGAGTATGAATAGTTGTATCTTTGCGCCTTAGCAACGCGATGGAAGATTATTATTAAAGTAGCCTCCTCGCTGGCCTTGTCGGTTCTCTTTGCCGCTACTGCAGTTTTAACCACATAGTTTAAGTGCGCTCAAGCTAGCATTGTAAATAGCAAATGGATGATTTTCAAAGAAGAATTGAAAATATACTCGCGGTAAGAAATATAACTAAGAATAACAGGAACTCAAATCGACAATCTACTTAAGGGTACCGAAAAAGTAGTGAATTTTTTTTTTTGCGTATGAGGTACTGAATTGTTTGGAAAGGTAGTGAAAAAGTACTATAAAAGGACCTAATTTTAGCCAGCCAGTTTTAGTAGACACCCTGCTCTCGTTGTATGAATAAGATTCTTATTCAGACTACCAGAATCACATCAGCAGCCTGGTTGTTGAAACTTTAACTGGCTATGTCGGCAAGATAAGACAAAACATGGCCCTATATGCGCCTTGTAATATATCAATTTTCGGTTTTCGTCCTGCCGACATAAATTTCAACAATCAGGCTGCTGGACCATGTGAATTTCGGTTACCTCAAAAGGCCGCCCTATGGGCACTTGAGATTTCCGTATGAGAAGAGCGAGAAAGACATTGTTCTTCGCATAATCACCTCTCCAAAATGTCTAAGAAAGTTATATTTTTAACCGATGACACTCCCAGCAGGCTGATTGTTGAAATTGGTAGAAATAGCGATAGACAAAGAAGAAGAAAAGGATATGGAGGGATCCTGTTGGTGGAAGCGGGTGGTTGCAATGGACAAAGGACGTAGGTAATAGACTAACTAACGGCAACCCACGAGAGACACGATAGTTGGTCCATCATTTACCCCCTTAGTCTATAAGAACCGCCCATTTCAATCAATAGGATCGCCCTATACTTCTTATGTCTTCTTTGCCTATAGCTTTGTATATAAATTTCAATAATCGGCCCGCTGGAGTCTTGCATTTTAATGAATTGAGTTATATAAGTTTGATTGCGCCTGTATCCGAAAGCAAACGGCTTGATGAAGGCACCAAGTTGGTCGTAATACATTCACCTCAGGTCTCGTCATCGGATTCAACCTGTTGCGTTCAAGTCGGCGTTCCTGTCCCTGTTGCTTGCAATTTCGTTACGTTTTCTTGCTACGTATCCGGCTTAACGCCCGGCCTAGTACGCGCTGCGAAGATCGTACATCTCTAACTGAAAACTCATGTGCGGTGTTCCAATCATGACATCACCGCGGCTTTACGTAAGAACTCGTTATCGATTTCTGCGAGGACGGTATCCAAAAGCATAAACCCCGAAAGTGAGAAATGTGTAACCCAAAAGCGCTATGCGAGTTTTCTCCCGCATTCTACAGCGTGATCCATAAGTACCGCGCCACTAGCGCGTAGCATCCCCGTAACTTGGTTCTTCTTTTAAACAATAAAGAATGAGCGAAGATTTTGAAACATTGCAAGCAAGATACGCATTTTTGCAATTTCACCGTCGATATGTCAGAAGTCCTAAGACCTGGATTTGTCGATAAACAGTCAAGGTATCAGTAACGACAGCAATGGGCCTGTTGCAAACTTTTGCTAGAGCAAAAATAAGAGTTGTTTCTTGTAGATAATGCCTCAAAAATCACGATGAGCGCATCGGCAAAGTCTGAAATGCACTCATAACTTCACAATCTGCGTAAGAAATTTGCGTTTTTTTAAGCTTCCCGCTTCAAAAACGATACTACGGCGTAGGTGAACATTTTGTTAGAGGAGTCGCTCCATCGTCGGCGATATTCATCATGGCCGACGCTTGCGCAGTTCCTCGCGTAATTCGAGGAGAGTTCAAGGTCAATTAAGGCGGGCGAGGAAAATATGAACGTTAACACACCGATTGTTATCTGGTCTAATCCAGTTCAGGTGTTATCTCGTCCCATCAAACGTGTTTTGGCGGATTGGCGTCGGCTATGATGATTATTGCCGACGATGGAACGACTCCTCTAACAAAATGTTCACCTGTGCCGTAGTATCGTTTTTGAAGCGGGAAGCTCAAAAAACCGCAAATTTCTTACGCAGATTGTGAAGTTATGAGTGCATTTCAGAGTTTGCCGATGCGCTCATCGTGATTTTTGAGGCATTATCTATAAGAAACAACTCTTAGTTTTGCTCTAGCAAAAGTTTGCAACAGGCCCATTCGTATAGCTAGCAATTAGGATTTGACGGAGTCTATGAAATAACCTCAGAGTGAAGTGTTCATATTCCGGAGCTCGAAGTGGTGTGGTGGGGGTGGTGTTGGTAGGGGTGGGGGGGTGGCTGAAGTGAGAGAGGAGCTCGAGTAGAACCGAACATGGCAACTGAAATCCAACGTCGAATGAGGGTTCTCTGACAAGAGAGATGGCTTTTGAGCGGAGATTAACGCGGTTTGTTTCTGACAGAGGATGGACGTATGTAGTGGCGTACCTCGAATCATCGGCTATCGATATTTCTCCATTTGAAGCTATGGTAAAGAATCGATCACAGGTGTTTGTTTACAAAACGCCTAGTTAATCGATCCTTTTCTATATGTTAAAGTTGCAGATTTATCGATTTCCTCGCTCCTCGCTATGAATCTCTTTTAACTTCATTGTTTGTTCGTCTTTAGTATTTTTCAATATGTATCTCGTATGGCGGCAAGTTTAAGTGGAGTTTTAACGTCAGCTCTATCGCACAACCATTTCAAATCTTGTTTTTTTTTCTTTCTTTCTTTCTTTAGGTATTTATGATGGATCTCTTTCCTCTATACATCTATCTTACACCGTTTCTTCTGTCAATATTTATTTACTCCATATTAAACAATAGATACTTACAAACTCCTGCAGTAATAACTTGTTGGTATGCTTGTTTGTTCGCAGGAAAATATTGAGTACGTGTTTCTAGTAATATTCACGGTAGAATGTGTCATGAAAATAGTTGCCTACGGCTTTGTCGCCCATCCGGGTGCCTACCTAAGAAATGGATGGAACTTACTAGATTTTACAATTGTAGTTATAGGGTAAGTCAACATTCCCTTTATTTTCTTTTCGTTTTACACAAATGATTCCATTGTGCTGGTTACAGAAGCGTGTTTTTTTGCTTGAATTTTGCAGATTAGCTATATAGAAGTAATGAGATCTGTCCAAACAGCAACTTTCTTTGTTCAATATTAACCGAGATGTCGCGCTTTGAAAAATTCAGTTTGTGACGTCATTAATTTTCCAAAGCGCGATTTCTCGGTTAATATCGAAAGTCCTCCTAAGAAGAAAGTATTATATCCATTAAAAGTATCCTGAAGAATGTTTTAAGCTATTTCCCCCAGAAACAAGGTCAAAAAAGTTCTGAATTCATTTCGTACAATAATACTCGGTGTCACAATATACTTTTAATGCATTATTCCAATATTAATATATTTCTTTCATTCCCTGGGCTGGGTTGCATTATTAGCAACCTTAGATTTCCTACCAGATTCGTGCATCAAGTAAGCATCTAATTTCAATGGGCCGGTTTTGGATATCTCTCCGAAAACCGTACTGATCCACAGAGATATATTGATTTGAATTCTTGATTTCCCCCTCACTTTTTGCTCTTTTGCAATCAATAGACGTATGAGATATATTGCTTCTAATTCTCGGTTTTTGCCCGGTTTTCCTGGTTTTTTTTTTCTTTTATTTTTTATTATTACCATATTTCGGCCTACTGCAATCATTAGACATCTCTTATTTTTGCATTTAAGGTTTATGTTATACCTACCAAGGGATGGGAATCCGATTTCGCCCAAAGGGGACATGCCCGTTTTCTGCATTTAGCGATTCAGACCGTCCTCACCACTAATAGCTACTTTTCCGCGCATTTGTATTAATTTTGGCACCCAACGCCCAACCCGTTGAACCTTTAACCACTTCACCCCTTACTGCCCCCCCCCCTTCCGTTACAGGCTCTGAAGTAGACAGATTGCCATCTTGCTTTGCTCTGCGGTCGCACGTCCGAGTCGGACGTGACAAAGAGACTTGAGAGGAATAAAGCCCTCTCCCCCGTCCCCTTCACCCCTTCCCATCTTCCCTCCGGCAAAACAATTTATAACACTACTCAACAGGATCGCGAGATTTTTTCTCAAAAGTTAGTCTTCCTCGCACAATTGCCTTTTTCCCCAGCGGCTCCTCGGTCCTGATTGTTGAAATTGATAGACAAAGCGACAGACAAAGTAGACATAGGGAGTATGGAGCGATCCTATCGTTTGATATGGGTGATTTTTGAGAAGGCTAAGGGAGAAAATGATGGAATAACTGTAGGATCTCTCACGGGTTGCCGTTAGTTAGTCTTTTACCAAATTATTGGAGTTTCGGCTACTTATAATGAAAGAAACAAATATTGAGGCCTAGCTGAAAAAAAACAGACTGCAAGAGAATGTTTGATTATGAGAATGTTCATGTTAAGGTAATTTTTAAATAAACACTCTCTGGCACACTGTTTTCTTAAGCATGACCTGAGTTTACATATTTTATCAAAGAAAAAATCAAAAAGCTCAATATTTGTTTCTTATAGTTAATTACCTAATTCCGAATTGTCCCTCTGCAACCACACGCTTTCACCAATAGGATTCCTCCATATCCTTTTTGTTTTCCTTGTCTATAGCTTTGTCTATCAATTCCAAGAATCGGCCCGCTTGGAAATATTAAATTCACGTCCAAATCATTCCGCTCTAAAATCGAGCAAAATGAGTCTTCAACCATTTGGCGCAATTAATACCTAAAAATTCCATAACTGACCCATCGACAGCAGCTCGAAGTTCGAGGAAAGCCGGTGACCGTCTTCGAAACGCCTTCTGAGCTAGGAGCTACAAGCTGGGGTCCGCGAGATTGCGGAACCTATGACAGTGACAGTGCAGTTCCCCATACGGATGGGATAAAAAAGAAACGGCCAAGAACATAGGTACATGTCTAAATCTGTCGACGTCTCCATAGAAATAAAGATCCCTCGCATCCTCGAAATTATAAGCATCTTGTTTTATGGGATAGGAGAAAATTGGTCAACGTCCGGTAGGCGAGTGGAAGGGTGGCAATTTTGTACTCGCCCCTTTTCAGCGTGCGATTCCCCTTTTCTCACAGGTCACTCTATTTTTGGGCCTTTTATTTCCAGACGATAAATATTTAGCAACCCTTCTCCAGTTAGTGCAGTTTATCCGTGCGCAAGTTTGCAATATCGTTCTCCGACTTTTTCGACGATTCATTTTCCTTTTTTCCTGGGCAATACCGCAAAATCTGGCGCTAGTGTATTTAAAGTCACGTACCTAAATTTTGCACTCGCCGTGCTCTGCAAATCTGTGCTCTGTGCTAATGTCCCCTCGGATGAAATATCACCAGTTCGTAAATTATCCGCGTCGGAAACGTGCGTCTTTAGCGGACTTTTTCGTCGACAACATAGAATGGAAAACGTAATGCGAGCGTAAGCAACCGTCGTCGTTTTTCCGGAGTTTTGTGGATTTGAATTCCTCGTAGCGTTCATTTCCCCTACATATAAGTAAATAAAGCGAGGGCAATAGATACGGGACTGTACGCGTCAAATCAAATGGGACAAATAATTTTGTTTACAAAATAGCATTTTAAGATGTGGACATTGCCTTTGGAAACGCATCTCGACCAAAATAACTTGGTGTTAACGCTTGCGGGCCGATTATCGAAATTGATAGACAAAGCTATAGACAAAGAAGGCAAAAGGGACTTGGAGGGATCCTATTGGTGGAAGCGGGTGGTTGCAATTGACGGAGGAGGTAGGAGATAAACTAACTAACGGCAACCAACAAGAGACCCCTCAGTTAGTCCATCATTTTCCCCCTTAGGCTGTAAGAACCATCAGTTTCAACCTGTGCGATCACTCCATACTCCTAATGTATTCTTTATCTAAAGATTTCAATATCAATGTCAATAATCAGCCCGCAGATCTGCTGTTCTTAACAAGAGGAGTCGTTTCACTCAAAAGGAAAACGCTGCATTCCTGAACGTAAAGAAATCGGGGGAAATGTCGAAATTTCGATAGAGCGCACAAGAGAAAAGTAGGCAAGTAAAAGAGGGAAAGAACGTGTGTTGTGGTCTTTCATGTAAAACCAATCCGAGCTTACTCGTTTCATTCATAGTATACTAGGGGTATTTCAAAGTTAAAGTTTCAGATTTTAACGGCCGCGCGGGCCGCCATCTTGAATTTTGTAAATGAATCAGGGTTTTCGAGGAGGGAACCAGTACGCTTGTATTTGAGCTCTGCGCGGGTTGATAGTTAAATCGTTAGGTTGAATTGTTAGGTCAATCGATCGAGGTCGATTGACGACGATTCAAAAATCAACCCACTAAAATGCCGAAAATATATGCAAACGAATGCTCTTTCGAAAACGGGCTTTTAGCGTTTTCGGAAAGAATCGATTATATCTTCTCTCCTTTTAAAAGGTTTCTTAGGTACGTAAGTAAACGACGAGTTTTTTTGACACCATGTCTCCTGTTTCTAATCATGAATATTTTGCTTCAAAACCTTGTTCTCTTTGTCTTGTTGCAGAATGATAAGTACCACTCTTTCAAATTTGATGAAAGAGGGTTTCGATGTCAAAGCTCTTCGTGCATTTCGAGTTCTTCGACCACTAAGATTGGTATCCGGAGTGCCAAGTAAGTGTTCATTCAAAACTACTGCCAAGAACTTAAAATAAATTTTTAGGGGATGTATTAGTTTGTCATTACTTCTAGTCTAGGTACAAATTGCCATTACAGTATTGAAGGGCCTCTATCAAATGACAACTTTTGCCGTAAAATCATTCTTAACATCCAAGTCATTTTTCAAGAAATTACAGAAAATGAATATGTTTAGCTGCCTTGGAATACTCACGGCAGTATAACTGCTGTTATATCTTATCCTCAGACTATTTTAAACACATGGCGTTGTGAATACACTTTTTAAACCTCTCAAATAGCGGTGCATGAGAACACAGTATTCTCAATTTTCTTACATCATTCTCATAATTTTCCATACCGATGCGTAAAATGCGAAACCACGTATCTCCATCTGCGACGTTGCAGACTTCCGATCATACTATATTTTTGCTCTGGAAAACTCGTCAACTTAATTTCTCGAAAACTTCCCTGAATTTTCTTCTCTATCAGCAGAATATTCCGCAGAAATGTTAAGCTATACAGTTGACTTTTCTCTCTCTGTAAGAGTAAAATAGGAGCTGACATTTTGAAACACCGTAATGGAGATACGTGATTTAGCACTTTGCCATCGAGACGTTCCGAGCTTACCACTACGCGCGTTTGTTTTATGTATGTCTTATGAAGGATTTTGAAATGTGTGGCATTCATCAGCACATTTTGCAAAATAAAGTGCCATTTTTTAGTCCTGGTCTCTCGGCCCCAAAATCCTGCATGCAAACACGCCAAGCGCAGACGCGATGTTGGTTTGAAACGTGGATGCATCTATTCGAGCTTGATGGATGTCCGTGTTGCATATTTAAAAATGAAGGCGCACTGGTTAGCCGCTCGCTCCGGCTGTGAATAGGGAATGCGTGCCTCTGTTCTGAATTGGTAGCAAGGAGTCGCTCGAGTTGGAAAAATATACTGGGAACTGCCCACCTCCTCTTTACCATTCCTCGTAACATTACCACGAAAATGGTACCATTTTAAATGTGCCTCGTCATATGTCACTATCATCACTCGATCTGAAAGTAATAACTACTCCGAAGAAGGTGTCCTTCTAAAAATAATCGTGATTTTAATGGGCAGACGGCCTTCATTCGGTGATATTTGATTTCTTTGCCGTTCTACGCTCAATAGGACTGTGAGTTTTAGTAGTAGTATATAGTACTACTAATAATAGTACTGTCATTTGCGTGAACCACGTGGGCTCCCAAGTGTAAGTTGAAGATGGCGGAACGTTCGGTTCGCGTTTACCTAAATAAAAAGACATCGATGGCTTTTTAAAAAAGCGTATATTTGATTAAGATAAAGCTATCATCTGTTTTTGTACTATTTATCTAAAGAGGAAACTAATAAACCGTATTTCCTCGGTATGCTCCATAAATTACCTATTCGAAAATATTCATAGACAATTCTAAGGGGTTTTTTTTTTTTTTTTTTCAGTTTTCTTCTCGAAAAGCAAAACATAACATAATCAGCTATGTTCAAACTTGGAAATGGAAGTACCCTTTTTTCGACTTCAATCGTCGATACGCTGTATATATTTACAATACCTTTCTCCTTGAAACTCTATATACTTATTTTTCGTCTGAGTGACTCTTTTACCGATTCATCTCAGAGCCATGAAAGTATATTCAAAACACTTCAAATCGCGTCGTGGCAAGCGTCTGAATAATCGTATCTTCTCATTATTTAGTGCGAAAAATAGGAACTAATTTTTTGTTCGCTCTTTTATTTGCAGGCTTACAAGTAGTTTTGAACTCAATTCTCCGTGCCATGGTGCCTTTATTACACATAGCTCTTTTAGTAATCTTTGTAATTATAATTTATGCCATTATCGGTTTGGAGTTGTTCTCAGGAAAATTGCATAAAACTTGCTTCAACAACATCACTGGTGAGTCACATTGTTTTTTTATTCTCTGTCTATTTAATTTCCAAGCTGTATTAGCCAATTTCGGATGCAACCTATGAAAACTTAACTCATAGAGAATTGACTCTATTTTATTCGTTTAACACACCCAACCAAACGAAATTATCGCAGCTCTTATACTCGCGGCGGGCTTATGCAGCGTTGATGTTCAGCAGTGTATGTTTTAGCTAAAAAATGTTACGATTTAATGATTAAGTTGCATAAATTCGTTAAAGCGGTAACTCTTCAAAACTGGATATAACCAAAAACACAAACCCCGAAAGCACAAATGAAGATTCGCCCTTTTGTAGCGGGGAAAGCAGTATTTGTTTGCTAAGATGAGTGCGCCCTTGAAACTGGAAAAAATGAGACAAGAAAAACTTCAACTGAGTTAGTAATGCGGTTGCAATGTAAAAAAATATTTTTCAATTATGAGGTATTAAATAGTCTCTGTCCGAAAGACTGAGACGTCCGAAAGTTTAGTGAATCCTTTATGTTTATGAAAATTGATAAGAGGCGCAAATAAAAGGAAACTTAAGAAGAAACATTTACATGATTTTCCAACGCCTTACCTAGAACTTTAAGCGAGGGACTTATAAAAAACAGAACAATATGTAATTTTCTCAAACATATTTACGCGACTTCATTGTGCGACAGGTTCGCCAGTAAAACCAGGAAATCATGAACGTGTTTTTCTGCTTGTAACGATAAAGATTCCCCGTTGCATTTCTATTTTCCAAGAGACGGACGGTCAGCATTTTGTCGGAAAGTTTGTGCGTAACTTTTGGATTGCTCTTTGAAAATTTTGCACTCAACGGAAAATATATTTATCCGCAAGGAAACTATAAAAGATGAATCCAAATAAAAGACGACAAAAAATTATATTAAATTAGATTAAAAGAAACTCATCAAATCATACCCAGAAACCTAATTTTTTAGCTATTTCAAGGACCGGCAACATTTAAAAACATTTGTGTTTATCAGTGCATTATTCCGAAAATTCAAAATTTGCTATGAAAATCAATAAACGTTAACTTCATCAGTACAATAGGTAACGCTAGGATACAGGTGAATTGAAAAAAAAAACTTGCAAAGCGACCTCAGTTGGTATCACATGCGCGCGGTGATCGGGCGATCACGAGTTGGATGTCAGTATAAGGCGTGGATGCAACTATTCGAGCTCCACGGATGTCCGTGATGCATACACACGGAATTGAAGGCGTTTTGATTCCCTAAGCACTTCCCGGCACGGTGGTTTATGAAAAACAGATCAACGACATGGTCCTCAAGAAAAGCTGGCCAAAAGTTATTTTAAGCCGAAAAAAGGACCATGAAAGGGTGTATGAGCCTGAAGAATCATTCTCAACCAAAATATTGGCAAAATTAAGAAAAATGAAAAGACAATTCTCTACAGAAAAATCCTTGCGTATGATACATACAGTAATCAACAAAATACTCGGTAAGGCGCTGACAAAAATCATGTGTCATTATGTTTGTTCTTCGGTTTACCTTTCGGTATTTGCACTTTCGGGGCGAGTCTCGACACTATTTTGGGATTTGCATTTCTCAATTTTAAGCTGCGCTTTTGGGAACCGTTTGTTGAGGTGGTACAGTAACTAATGCTTTCCGCGTCATTTCGCGTGTCAAGTAAACGAGTACAATGCGATGATTGCCCCTGAGAAGTATAGCCTCTCTTCACTTCGACGCTCTACTTAAAGGCACAATGCTCGTATTCTTAGTTATGCAAAAGACGAGTTTACCTACTAAACTGACTTTCGGTATAATTTATTTTATGTTGGGTGTTCGCCTCCAACATTGAAACGAAATATTATCAGATATAAATTCGTCGTCATGCCAAATCATTAATAACGGTGAGAGCGTTAAAGTAGACATTTAGACTGGCGACTTTGCATCGTTGAGAGAGGTATCTCATGAAACTATAATCATTCGCTTTGAATCGCGTGGCGCCACAAGCTGTTCCACTTTTCTCCCTACCAGCCTCCTCCCTTCGGCTCCTTGGCGTCCTTCCTTTTACGACCGCATCTACTTCCTTTGAACCTCGTATACTTCCCTCACAACGCTTCGAGGCATCCGAAAAAGATCATACCTCGCATGCTTATCGCCACGATTACCGCAATGATTGACTGAACTTTTTACCTATGGCTCATAAACGAACAATGATCTGCTGTGTCCTGCTGAATTAATTTACTCTTGTTTCTCTCCGTGTCACTCAGAGGTTGCGACTCGCTAGTGACTGGCGCCTTGAACTATCACTTACGTGATCCACGTTCGATTATGGCGACCATTGTCTAATATTGAACGAGGTTGCAAATGTTCAATCCAAAGATTTGGTCTATGTAATCCAAAGAAAATCCAACCAAAAAATATTAACCGCAAGCTCAGGTTACTTTGTGTTCTGATTTCCATATTAACACAAAATTGCGGGGTTTTTTTTACTGTTTACGTAACTAGACCATTCAAGACCAATCCACACAGGTCAGTCATTCCCGAGGACGAGTTTTGGTACTCTACTGCGCAGTGACGTAGTATTGAGTGCCTGCAATGTATTTCTTATGGGAGCACCCATTGTGACGTACTATTGAGTGCAGCCGAGTTAGGGCCGGGCGGGGAAGTGGCTTTCAAAAAGATGCGCAATGACTGACCTGTGTGGATTGGTCTTGAGACCATTCTGCATTAATTGGTCCTAATAGGACGGCTTACTCTCATTGAACTACGTATAAATTACTTTTTTCAGGGTTTGTTGTTATCTTGCAGTAAATTCCCAGTCCTATGCTCCTAGTAATTAATTCTTGCAGTAATTTCTGTAGTAATTCTTGTAGAAATTTCCGCTCGTGTCAACGAGAACGTCCACAGAGTATTCACTTTGTACCAAGAGCTGTTAGAGTTTTCTGGCTCGGTAATGATTTCGCAGTGTTGGAGTTATTGCATATTCCTCCCAATTAACTAAATAACTAGAAATTAAAATTCACCTGAAGAACAGCTGCGTCAAATTGAAATGTTTTACTCATGAATTTTAATGAACCCGCGTAAACTTCCGCTCATTACAATTATTCATTTTTTAAAATCTGTTCCCTTGTTTCCATTATTTCCGCGGGCAAAGTAAACATGAGAAATTTCATTATTCAAAGAGCGAAGGAGATGGGAGGAGCGTTTTAAATAAATATGAGATAAACTAAAAAAAAATATGAGATTCTGTACACCCGGCTAATAACTCGGAAACTTTGAGACCGGAGCACTTTTATTTCACGAAGTATCTAGTGATTGCGGCTCCCTCGGACAGACTCTTTAACTGGGAGAAGTTTTTTCTGAAAGGAAATCATTTCAAAATACTGTAATTCTTTTTGAAACAAACGAAATTATTTCGTGGGAAATGTTCAATGGAACTTTCTTTTGATGCGGATAATTTTTTGTCCTGTTTTTTTATAATCTGGGCACTATGGAGTTCAAGTATTACGTAAGGCATTTTTGCCAACTTTTTGACTCCTCCTCCCCCCTGTTAGGCACCTGTAAGAAATCTCTGACACCCCCCCCCTTTTGAATTACGTAAGATTGGCCGGGACCCCCCCTTCCCTTCCCTAGGAAAAAAAAACTGAGAAAGCCTGGTAAAATGGCTGGAATAAATAGGCGTTTGTAAAGGTATGTTGATGAAAATCGGCAAAAAAGGAAGTAAATAATTGACATTTAACTGTCAGGGTGTTAACCAGTTATGAAAAAACCACAATTGGGGACTTTTCGGGACCTCAAGAAAATCGGGGACTTTTTTTTCCCGAAATAAAAAAAAACCTTTTTTTTACAGCGGAAGGCTTACGTAAGACTCTGCTTGACTCCCCTCCCCATTTTGCAAGGCTCCGTAAAACAAGCTCGCCCCCCCCCCCCCTCAAGTGCCTCACGTAATACTTGATCGGCCCCTATATTCTAACATTGCCTTATTTTGTAAATTATTTTTAAAATTTGGTATATTATTTCCTGTATTTCTACGAGTTGCCCCGTGTTCATAAATGTTTCGGTTGCAGGAGAAATGATGGATGATCCACATCCATGCGGCGAGGAGGGTTTCCAGTGCAGTTTCTACAACAAGGGCACCGAAGAGATCTGGGAGTGCCGACTCGACTGGGAGGGACCACACTTCGGCATCACGAATTTTGATAATTTCGGACTGGCCATGTTAACTGTCTTTCAGTGTATCACCCTTGAGGGTTGGACTGACGTTCTCTATGACGTAAGTACGTTTCTGCAGTATTCCAGCGGAGTCACTCGAAATACGAAGAAAATCACGCTGTCGCTACGTTTAGACGAACAGCATTGTCCAAATCAAATTTTTCGTCCGTTTAGTCGCAGATAGTAGTAATACACGCAACCTGGGTGCCTTCACAGACCGAGTAAGGATATCTCGGGTGCTCATATATATCACTAACAGTCAGAAAGATTTCACAGTTCGTCAATTTTTTTCCTTGCAATTCTGCGATTTTTTCATGGAAGATATGTATACTGAGGCGGTGACCGGGGAGGGGAGGGGGGGGGCTGAAAAGTCGAAAAATTTCAAGAATGAACACTACAAGTGGTCAGGGTGTTTACAATACCGGAATTTCCGGAAATAGTACTGATTTTGAAGGGCGGTCCGGAAGCACTGAAAAAGTGCGGAAATTCTGCAAAAAGGTCCGGAATTTTCCCCGGATTCTGTTACATTTGTCGCAATTTGAGCTAGAAATTCAAATTTTTGAAATTTGTCGAATTTCGTTAATTGGAGGCACTGAAAAAGTACTGTAAAAGTACTGATTTTTGTCCAGCCTGTTTTCGTAGACGAATTTAAGAAATATTACCCTGGTAAAAATTGGCGATAGGAACTGCGTTTCAAAATACCATAGGAGTTCTTATAGCCGACTAAAGAAGGCTATTGAAAATCATATAGCTGGCTGTAGAAAGCGGAGCATATCATAAAGCCGGGCTATACGAAGCTATAAAAAAGTATACAGTCGGGCTATAGTTCCTATCGCCGGGCTTTACACTTTATCGCCATTGGCTGTAAAAGGCTATAAGAAAGTGTGTAGAAATTCGTGTGCTTTGGAAATCATTAAGTTTGATACGGAACTACCTTAATATTTACAAAACACACATTATATTTTCCTTTAAAATATATTTTTTTTCATCCATTAAAATGAGAATAGTCCATACAGAGTGTGCAAACATTTCAAAATCATGAGTCGAAAAACGCTGACTCCGCGAGATTAAATATTAGAGCCTAACACAAAACGGAGCGGCGACGCACTGGCGCCTACAAACCTAACAGGGATACTTCACGCATTGCGCAATGCGTGAAGTATCCCTGTTAGGTTTGTAGGCGCCAATGCGCGTTTCGTGCTCTCTGCCCGCCCGCCGCGCCGCAGCGTGCCACGGCGTCTGAAGCAACTATTTCACACCAGAGGAATTGCACAGTATGATAAGAAATTGAAGGCGCTCCAACACATTAAGAATGACAGGCATCCTTCAAAAGTACGGAGCTTTCCTCGCAAAATAAATCAAAATACTACGGCACAAAAAGAGAGCGGTAGTCCAAAAACTGACTAAGTCCTAGTATCCGTATTTAGTAACGTTTGGCACAAACTTTATCGTCTGGTTGTTGCTTAATCGCGATCGGCTATGAAAGGCTATAAGAAATTGTATAGCCGGCTACAGAAGCTATTGCAAATCTTACAGCCGGCTTTAGGTCTATGGTATTTTTGAACACACATTCTACTGCCAATNATACTACGGCACAAAAAGAGAGCGGTAGTCCAAAAACTGACTAAGTCCTGGTATCCGTATTTAGTAACGTGTAGTATAAACTTTATCGTCTGGCTGTTGCTTAATCGCCATCGGCTATAAAAGGCTATAAGAAATTGTACAGCCGGCTACAGAAGCGATTGGAAATCTTACAGCCGGCTTTAGGTCTATGGTATTTTTGAACACAGATTCTACTGCCAATTTTTACCAGGGGAAATATGCTCTCCATCCAAATTTCATACCCAAAACGTTTTTGCAACTGGAATTATTGAAATCAACTCCTGAATAAGATATTCAACGATTTTTAAAGCGTGAATTCAAACCTCCCGCTTATGAAAAATATAAGTCTACGGAAGTCAAATCGTGCTGTAAACGGTAGCCTAACAGTCCCTGACTAAAAAAGGCAATATATCTGAGTCAGGAGTATTGATCTATTATTTTCGTAGGACGGATCGTGATCCACGCGAAATCTCGGTCAGGAAACATGTATTTAAAATGCTCCAATTTACACTCTATTCAGTGGTCCATTTGGACTGCATTTTGCAATTTGGAACTATAAATTCTGGCTTATCTGAAAAAACACTTATGTGCATAGGGAAACTAATGACACATACGTCGTTTTTAATCCGGGCCAGAATTTATAGTTCCAAATCGCAAAATGCTGTCCATTTTTGGCGATCGGGAAAAGTCAGCACGAAGAGCACGTTAGATTGTAAATCCTTTTCCAATGGGAATGTTTCACTCTAGAGTCCTTTTATGCTGAGAGTCAAGACAATGCGAATCCATTTCGTTTGGTTAACCGGATTTTAGGCCTTCACAGTGTCACAAACGGGAATAAAGATTACATTTTCACCAATGCAAAGATTATAATCTGGAATGGACCAAGGAATTTCGGGTTCGACAAGGAACAAACGGAATGAGAGAAGGAACGGAGAAAGGAATTTAAGAATGAGCCGATCAAAGATTACGAAAAACGTTCAATTTGTGTAATCTTTATTCCCGTGTGTGACTCCATGAGGGGTGTTGTCTTGACTCTCAGTATAAAGGGACTCTATTTCACACGAAGTCAAATATTCAAATCATTTTCAAAGCAGGAAAAAGCAGAAGACTCAGCTGAGGAAAAGCGAGGGAATCGGAAAATGAATTTGTGGGGAGCCTGTATGCCTAAAATTAGGAGAGCGGAAAGAGATGCGGATGGAGAATCGATCCGTGCTCCCTGGAGCTGACAAAATGTCAGTTCTCGTCATTAAAATGCCGTAAATACTGTCAGCAGTTATGCCAGCGGCAACGAGGAATCGGCGGAACGGGATAGATAAGAGCCATAGAGACCGTAAAATTTTATGGCTCATTTTAGGGGCGTGTGAACGAACTGCTTCCAATCGCCCCTGCCGCCCCGGCCGCGCCGCCTCGAAACAATCAGCCATCTCGCCGGCACTCCCGGTCACTTTATCCGATCCTTGCTCCCTGAGTCGGCGCAACTTTTTTCCCCGAGGGGTATTCACGGCAACTTTTACGAGTCGATACACTTTTTCTCTTATTTAAATTATTCCTTTCAATTAGGCCCCGCGACCCAGATCGTGACCCGAATGGAAACTCGTAATTTTTTCCCTACACTCCCGAGGGATGAGCCGGAATCTTTTTGGGTTCAAGCCAATCGCTTTTCGGGAAGCCACCGCGGTAAGCACCCGGTATCCCGCTGAGGAGTGGATAACTCCCCGCAGCATCCCCCCACCGAGTGGCAAAAATCAACCCATCGCATCGCACTGTTAAAAATCTCGGATTGATATCCTCAGTGTATCTCACTTTAGAGCCTATCCCCTCCCTGCCGCCCCCCCCCCGGAAAAATCTCGAGTATTATGAATGAGGATCGAGATCCATTCCGTAAGAGCAGAGTTAACTCCACAAGAGCACCTAGTGAATCCAGATCGTAAGAGCTATGTCCTCTCTGCGAAAAGAGTAGATTCCATGCCGCATTCATGCCACTCGAATTTTTTGGCGGCAAGAAGGCTCCGGAATAGTGTTCGAAACTCACAGGCGCCAAATGCGCCTAAGATGTTGGTCATGGCGCCTAAAAAATGAAGGCTCTCCGCCAACGTGGCCCCTAAAAATTGCCCCCCCCCCTCCCCCCAGAAGAAATTTTCGGAAATCCCAGAAATTTTTCTGTTTGGTGATTTTTCGAAATTTCTCCCAAGTCACAGTTACTTGTTCTGTAACTAAAACATCTTGTTGACACATCTAACTTTTAAGTGAATGCGCCATGATATTTAGGCAAAAAGTCAATTTGGCCCCTAAAAAGCGAGCTTGATGAGCCACTTGGCTCCTGAAACTCAAAGATGAGTTCGAACACTGCTTCGGAGTGACAACTGATCCCAAGAATTCTGGGAAACTAATGTATTTTGAACTGAATTCGAAGTACCTATTTCAAATGAAAGTGTGAAAAATAACGTCAAAGGGATGTGGATGACCTATCGTGGATTTTATGAGTCTTTTACCAATAGAGAGGGTTACGAAACACTGACATGACCTCCCACCCCCTCGTAACGCAGGCGCATTCCTCCAAGCGCTACGTGATTTATGAACGCTCCTACACTTGAAATTTTGCCCGCCAATTCAGATGAGTATGTGCTGTATGTTAACGTAGCCTTCATTCATATTTGCCACATACTAATTATATTAATATTATGATTATTTCTTTGACGGTCGACGACATCATCAAGAATCAACTGTTAAAATTACATACACTCAGTCGGAAAAAAATATTCAACCAGGTACTCTTTACCCCACACGACGAGCAAGTCCTACAGTTCTTAACTTTATGTATCATGGACCATTTCTAAACAACTAGTCTTTTGATTGTCTTTTTTCCCCCTTTTTTTCTTTAATTCTTTACTTTGATGGCTGTACCTATGTTGACCTGTTGACCCTGTTGTAGATCCGTAGCTCAGTAATATCATTCAGTACCACTTTATTTTGCAGATTGAGGATTCTCTGGGCAACACATGGCAGTGGATCTACTTTATTTCTATGGTCATTCTAGGTGCTTTTTTCGTCATGAATCTAATTCTTGGTGTGCTCAGCGGGTAAGTTGATGAGAGTTTAAAGATCTCTTGTATATAACTTTAAGCCAAATCCGTCCGTCAAAAAATGTCTACTACTTTTTTTTTTAAAATGAACTCCGATTTTAAGGAAGAGGCGCCGACGACTCGCACCTCAAATATTTGAAATGTATAAAAAATCAATTTGAAGCTCCAATTTTTCCCCACCCCAAGTAGCATCTCTCAACGGAAAAATCGCTATATATTGCGATTTTATCGGCGATAAAATCGCCAGGATCATCAACTTCTGAGCGATTATCCTCGATTTTATCGCGATAAAATCGCGCTTTTATCGTTCGACAATTTATCGCGATATTTTCGAAATGAAAATCGCGATGAATGGCGATTTAATCTCGATTTTATCGATAAAAATTGATCGCGATTTTATCGAACCAAAAATTGCAATTTGTTGCGCTTTAATTGCCATTTATCGCGATTTTTAATGCGATAATATCTCGATATATTGCCACCGACATAATCGCGATAACCAACCGATAAAATCGCTATGTCGCGATCACTGCTACTTGGGACACTGCGCGCTATTTACTGTGTAACGCTCGGTTAATCCGTGCACATTAATGTTGAATAGTCGCGTATCCATCGTAAGATGCAAATCTGTGTCAATCGCTATGTCGCGATAGCGTTGCAGAGACTCAGAACGGCACGTTGTTGTGTGCTTGCGTAGTTACGAACACAGAAAGTCCAGGCGCCTTCATTTCGCGTGCACGCAACAAAGACATCTACTGAGTAGGATTAGTGGTATCATTAGCAACCATCGTTATTTACCCCCCTTTTCTTTTACGATAGTCTTGCGCTTAATCTTTTTGTTAGCCGAGCCCGTAGAATTGTTTTCATAAGTCACAAACATAGACAAATGATTGTAATTCATGCCCATGATCACAAATAACTTTTTAACAAAATCTTTTGTAGTCCTCCAATCAGGTCTCTTCTAACCTCCATGCTCTTTCTTTGAGGTTATGTTGACATTCCTCATTATTACTCCAAAACCAGTCCTTACTGAGGAAACTTAAATTTTCCACCTGGATCTGTAAAGTTGTCCCTAGTCATCTTTAAAGAAATCCCTAACAGTTCATCAGAGTGTAAGAGTGTTGGAAAACCCTTTTTTAATTGCTGCTTCAAAATGTGAAGAATGGGAGGAAGAAGCCTCTGTGAAGCTGAAGCATGTGGGACAGTTTTGCAAATAAAGTGATTGTTTGTGTGACCATCGATTTTCAAACTCATTGTCAGGAGGAAAAAAAACAAAAACACTTAATTAGACAAGGTGGCAAATGGAAGAAATGGAGGCTGAAGGTACCCTCAAATCAATTTGTTTAAATGCATGCATATTATAGAAAGTTTAAGTGGCAAACAACATTGCTGGAAACATTTGAACATTGTTTTTTACCTCTTGTCTCTACTAGTTCAAACGGCCATAGTCTAGAAATGTTTTGAAATTCACAATTTTAGCCCCGCATTTCATAATGAGGAGTAGCAACACACAGTCTCAAAGTACCTACCATATTCATGTCATTTATGAAATTATGCCAATAATATCTTTTACATCACGCACTCAGGACAAAAAGTAAGATTTAAACTTTTTGCGTCAATTAAGAATTTCTTCACTTAATACATATCGACTGTGAAACTCCCAAACCAGGTATCTCAGTTTACGATGTTGCAGACTTCCTGTTATATTTTATTTTTAAATAGAAAACTACTCAACGTCAAGAACTTCCATGATTTTTCTTTCCTGTGCGAAGACAAGTCTGTAAAAATTTCAAGAAATAATATTGCTGTGATGTCCTTTCAAAAAGTAAAATGGGAGCGGAGATTTTTAGACACTGCAAACGAAATATGCGGGCTGGTAGTTTCAGTGTCGATATGTGAAGAGTTCTCTAACTCACACCCATTACTTAACAGTGATATGGGCTTCTTTAAATTTTCAAGATTTTGTCGCAGTTTTTCACACTTTCTCTCACAATTCTATTGAAGGAAGACTCTTATGAGTATTTTCATTGGAAAGGTAAAAACTGTGATCAGATTTCTAGCATACCATTTATGGCGCTAATGCCGAGTTTGTTGGAGCAAACATTCTCTGAATAAATCTTTTCCTCCCTCTTTTTTTTCAGAGAGTTCTCCAAGGAAAGAGAGAAAGCGAAAGCCCGAGGGGACTTTCACAAGCTTCGAGAAAAGCAGCAGATAGAGGAGGATCTGAAAGGATACCTTGACTGGATTACGCAGGCTGAAGACATAGAGCCCGAAGCTGAGGATAAGAATCACACTCAGGATAATAAAAGTATGCACAACCAAGAAGATGTAAATTTTTTCTGATTGCCTCTCACTAAACGCTTGATTTTTCAGACAGTTTCTTGTTCCTGATATGTTCCATTCCTCCTTATTTCTCGGAAACACAGTTTCATCTCACTATCCTAAGAAAATAAAGATACACCAAAATAGCCCGAATAATTAAACAAAGAACAAACACATTACAGTTGGTAAACGAAGGCTGAAGGCGCATTCAAGATATTTGGCTCCATTTGGCAATATGAACATTGCACTAAATTTTACAGCCTATCTGTGTTGTCAACCGTAATAACATAACTTTCTAGTGACTTTTTGTGTACCAAGATCAAAATTTTAGTTCAATATTTCAATTTTTGTGAGCATTAGAGACTCTTCTTGTAAAATATTGTCAAAGAACCCATGATCATCACTAATTTATCGCCAAAAGTCACTAAAAATCAAGATATTCTGATGTCCTGTTTTCCTTTTGTTTTTTGCCACAAGCTTATTTACTTTTCTCACATGAAACTTAGGTACTTTTACTTAATTTGAAACAATTATCAGAAAATTGATTTTTGCACCATCATCAAGAGATCTGCTAACCTAGGTACATATTACTTAAATTCTTGAACCGATTCACTGGATTTTTCATTTTGTATGAAGTTGAAGTTTCAGGCAAATACAATTTTTCATGGTTGATTTTTGTAGGTAAAATTGTATATCATCCTATGTTTATCGTGGAAAACATTGGTCAGAGTTAGTTGATCTCCTGCATGTAAGTAATGATGTAATTAGCTTCAGATGGTGGCACGACATGAACAAATTTTCCAAGAGGTTACTTTCTGTTTCCATTGTGCCATTTACAGTGAATTGAGTTTTATGTAATTTTTTTTTTTTTTTTTTTTTTTTTTTCCAGATAAATCTTCAAGTAAGACTGAATCAGCAGATAGACTAGAAGGGGATGAAGGGGAGGTTCAAGAATCTTGGTGGAGGAAAAAGAAAAAAGACTTTGACAGGTACCTATCTCTTATGAATTTAATCAATTATTGTAAATTTATTATCAACATCTACCTATTTTCATAGATTAAATTTTATCACAGTTTTCAGGACCATATTCATATTTTGGTTAGGTGGAATGGGGGGGGGGGGGTGTGTCTATACTAACCGTCATTTTAATATGATGGCTAACCATTCGAAATCATATATTTGTTAGATGCCCACCTATTAAAAAGGAAAATCAAATGCCCAGTGCTGTGCTTTCATGTCTGCTTTTAATGCTGGTCCGTAACAAATCTTATGTTATGCGCAAAAAAATTAAAGGAAAAATAAATAAGTAGGTAATTAAATCATCACCTGAAAACTTGCAAATTTTATAATTTTTTCTTTCATTGTTTCAGGGTTAATAGGCGTGCTCGAAGAGCATGCCGCAAGGCTGTCAAATCTCAAGCTTTTTATTGGTTAATTATAATTTTAGTTTTTTTAAATACTGGTGTTCTTGCAACGGAACACTACCACCAGCCAGAGTGGTTAGATGAATTTCAAGGTAGGTATCATTTTTTTCATTTGTAAAATAAATTTCCAAAACCTAGATTATATAGAATTTTTGTAAGTTAAGTAAGTAAATTATCCAGGAATCCACTGCGACTCACTTCTGCTAAATTATATTTGATGTTTCAAGAATCCTTTATGAAACCATCACTATTGTGGTTTCCTCTATTTGATCTGTGTAAGTCTCTTCAGATACTTGAAGGATATTTTCAATCAGTTGTTACTCGGGGCTCAAATTTTTTCAGCAGACAAAGAATATTGTATAAAAATTAATTCTCGAACTTTATCAGTCCATCATTTTTTCCAGGTCTGTTTTTTTTTAACATTTTACGAAGAAAGGAAACTGCTCAAGAAAAATATTGGGTGTACCTACTATTTGATATTCAACTTTCTTAATATATGATCAGAGTCTTGTAAAACAGTTTTTGGCTGTGATTATGCAGGAGTTTAGCGAGAGGGGGGGGGGGCGTTCTGGATTTCCCCCCGCATCCCTGGGAACTGGAAATTGTTTCCAAAATCGTAATTTTTAGGAATGTTTTACCTTTGAGCCCCTGCCCCCTCCCTGCATGAGAAGTTTTTGACCGAAGACCCTATGAAAAAACTCTGACTGCACCACTGTAACTGTTTATAATGTTGCCCATAATTTGATCTTTTTTCTGTTGCAGAAGTTACCAATATGTTTTTTATAGCTCTTTTTACAATGGAAATGCTGTTGAAAATGTATAGTTTAGGATTTCAGGTACGTTTACTACTCACAATTGTTTTGATAAATTTAAATTGTTCATATTGAATAGACAAACATTAAAAGAAAAAACAGAGTTCCAGGTACTTCATGGCATCCAATCCAGGTGTTGGTACCGAATGCCATACTTCTATCTGCCACTTGTATGAAACTTTAATTACTGGAGTGATTGAATTATTCATCACCCTCCCCTTCCCTCCCATCTGATTGGACAAACGTGCATCACAGTGAATCATTGAAGTATCAGTATCTTGCAGTCAAAACCTGCAAAATCGAGACAAAGCATAATGTATCTGGTCAAAAATGTGATTTGTCAGAGATCCCTTGGTCAAATCCAAGATTTTCGTAACAATCATTCAATTCGTTTTGGTCCTTCAAATAGTGGTTTGATGGGTTAAATCACCATCTGATGCACCGCAGATGGTCACGCACAGGTCAAATCTGATTTTTAAATTATAGACAGTTATAAGCCCTCCCTCTGCCTTTGCAACTAATTTAATAAAATCAATATTCATGGGGAATACACTTGGATAATCAATGCTGCAAACTTTATCAGCTATACTTCTGTGATTTTATTGAAACAAACAAGTTACAACTTCCCATCAACATGTACATAAAACTGATGGAAAGAAAGTTAGTTGAATGTATAAATTGAACAATATTTCCAGTTTACTGACCTTCAAAATTGAACTGTAAATCATCTTTTTTTAAGGAAAAGGTAATTTAGATGTTCATTGAAATTCATTGTAATGCTTTGAATACAATTAAATATGTTTTTGTTTCAAGACAAGAGGATTAACTCGTCTTTCATTTTTTGTTGCAGGGTTACTTTGTCTCTCTGTTTAATCGTTTTGATTGTTTTGTTGTTATTGGAAGTATAAGTGAAATGGTGCTCACCCATACCAATATTATGCCCCCTTTGGGTGTGTCTGTTTTGCGTTGTGTTCGACTTCTTAGAGTTTTTAAAGTTACCAAGTAAGTATCCGAAAACCTTTCCATTTAGAAAAAGTCCTAGAAGAAAAAGATGACGAGTACAAATAAAATGCTTCCCAAACATTGATTGAAAAAATAAAAATTTCCTGATTACATTCAGAATCTACTTATTTTCATTTTTTGATGCTCTTCATTAGCATTGCTCATTTTTCTGGAAAAATGTGTACTGATTTATTTTGATTAGTCTTTCCTGACCTTTCCCTCTTCATGGCCGGAACTTCGGCACTCCACTCGAGAGCCTTGCTCCTGTCAGTGTGTCTTGGCTGTTACATTATGTTCATTAATGTCTCCTAATGCCTCAAGCTGTTCTTATAAAACTATGAAATTCTAGCCTTGCGCTTCCTTTACCAGTATTAATAATTTTACTATCCTTACGCAAGTGCAGTCAGTGATTTTCAGCTGCCCACAACCCACTGTTGCTCCTGAATCATCTGTGCTGCTCAGTTTTCATTCATCCTGCCAGCGTAAGCAAATAATACATTTTTCAATCGATCTGTCATCTTCAATTTTCCCAAAATTTGTATAAGACATGAACCATGTCTTTTATAACTATAAATTTGACTAATTGTTGACCAGGAATTATTTTTTATTATTCTTATTTGTATTTTTTTTTTCCTACAGATATTGGCGATCACTGTCAAACCTAGTAGCATCTTTGTTGAATTCCATCCAATCAATTGCATCTTTACTTCTACTTTTGTTCCTGTTTATTGTGATATTTGCTCTTCTTGGCATGCAAGTGTTTGGCGGGAAATTTAACTTTGACCCATCGCAATTTAAACCTCGTAGTAATTTTGATAGTTTTTGGCAAAGTCTTCTCACAGTCTTCCAAGTAAGTATCCATTTCCACATTAAATCTACTTGCACTCCATTTTCTTCTCCCCAAGAGTCGATTTTAACTCCTCCAATATTTATGTGTATCATGTTCGATTTGAAATTTTGATCCTAATTACTTAAATCTTCTGAAGCCTTAATTCTCATTATCGGTGGGCTGTAACAAATTCTAAATAAGTAACTCAGGCACCGCATGTCTGAAAGTAAGAAATTACACTCAAATACCTTAGGAAAACTTTCTGAGGAAATCAAAATTATTTACGCCGCCAATTTTTTTAAATTATACCTAATTGTTAAATCACTGTATTTCGTTCAAAAAATTCAAGCATAAAATCACAGGCTCAATTGTATAAAAATGACAAAGCCCCACCACCTCAAAGTTGCCTTTCAAGGTTTGCCCTTGTATTTTTTTTCCCTCTTTCCGAAATCTCCTTCAGAATGTGCCAGGTGACTGGTTCACAGCTGTATTTGCATTCCAAAATTCAACCAAAAATCCAACACTAAAGGAAACTGCTGCTTTTTTTGGGAATAGTTTAATGATGGCTTTATTTATCAATTTTAAAGAAATAAATCAGGGTTATTTTAAGTTGACTCAAGCTCAATTTTTTTCTGATGAAAAATTCACATCTTTTCTTTCAGATTCTTACAGGTGAAGACTGGAACACTGTTATGTATGATGGCATTCGAGCTTATGGAGGAGTAGCTTCCATTGGTATTTTAGCGTGCATCTACTACATTATTTTGTTTATCTGTGGTAATTGTATCCTTTTCAACATTTTGAGTAAGTTGGCAAAGTGAGAGAACCATGTTTACTTTGTTAATGGCAACTCTGAGTGGCACTGGACAAATGGGTGTCGTATAGGAGGATTCCTGCTGCCTTTTCCTTTTGAATTATGGAATTTCATAAATCATTATCACCCTCTCTCCCTTTCTTCACCAAAAGAAATAAAGGTGTCACTGTTCTTCAATCAAAACCAAATATTCTTGAGAATTATAAGACATACTTTGATGAGCAACAGCGGATGCTCCTTAATGAATTTTAAATTCTCAAGAGGTCGTTTAAAGCATTTGGGACTAAATTCAAAGTGTGAATTTACTCTAGAGAAACAAGAATTTGAAAATTAATTATTAAAGTACAAAGTGGGCAACAAAAGTAAGATTTATTCAGAAAAAGGAAGAAGTGTAAACGACCATTTTTAAAAATTTGGCTTCAGCATGGTGGTAGAATCAGATCATATGCTACCCCACCCCCTGCTCTTTATCGTAATTATATCTTTGAAACAAAAATATCTCTCTATCTTTTGATGGGACTCCTAACAACTACCTATGCTATTGATTTTATTTGATATTTCGATCGATTTTTCCTCAACTGATGATCTCAGATATATTACTGAATGTTTTCTTGGCTATTGCTGTCGATAACTTGGCGGATGCTGAATCATTAACAGCCATTGAAAAGGAAGAAGATGATGAGGTAAGTAATACCTCATGTTCAAGCTTGCCCTTATTAAGAGAGTAACACGCGTGATTAATACAATTACTTATCGAATGCAGCATCCATGTTCAGGGAAACTGTATCCTCCCAGTAATGATTTTCTTCATTATTCAACAACCTCTACTCAAAAGTATTCACATTTGCAGTTTTATCCCAAGATAATGCTCTCACAACCAATTCCTGTTGAAGAGCATGCTTTCACAGAATCTAACCTGGTAGGCAATGATAGGGTGAAAGAGAGTAAAACGTATTCTTCTCCTCATGATCAGTCGTCAAAATAAGCTTTTCCCCATTACTCGAAGAGAATCTTAATTTTCAGGTTCAAAATTCTCAGTGTATTTCCTATTTATCGATTTCAAAGCGTTAGATGACCCTCCTCCCTCTTGTGATCACAGTTGTTGATAAACTTAAAGCAAAGAAAAAAGAAAGCAAGCCAGTGCTGAGATGTGTACTGAATCTTTGCCATTTTTTCATTGCAGTCCACACCAATTCCTGATAGACACCTTTTTAGACAAAGAAAAGCCAAAGAGGGAAAAAAGTGCTCTTGAAAAGGGAGACAGGAAGATCTTAACTTCATTTTCTATTTTTTTCATTTTCAGGCAGAAAAGCAGCAGAAGTATGCTAGTGGTAGTCCTGGTCCGAAAGAAGACGGAATGTCCAATGATGATATGGGGCAAACAGATGATGAAAATGGGTAATTTTTCTCCGCTTCCTTCACTAAGTCCTTTTATTTTTATTTTTCTTATTAGATTCCCTGCCGCATGCAATTGTCAAATTATGATCAGACAAGTGAAATATTTATCAAAGACCAATTTTTAACTGCACCTTAGGCAACATATGAGATGGAAATATTTGTTGAAAAGAAATAATTAACCACTTAAAATAGAAGCAAATAGGGAGTGGAGCCTATCCTAATGCAGGGTGTCTGCAGGTCTGGAAAACCGGGAAAAATCAGGGAATTTGATCACTGTCTGGAAAACCGGGAAAAGTCAGGGAATTCGATCGAAAACCGGTGAAAGTCGGGGAATTTTTGCAATTCGAACATTTCGCGGCTATTTTTGCTTATCACTGCCGAACTGGCCGAGTAGCACGCTCGCGTGGCTGATATGTAAACTGCTCTGTTCAACCAGTTTGCAACACGGCCGCTAGGTTCACTAATGTGTGTTCGCTAACTTTAAAGATCGAATCGATCTGCCCTATTTAATTTATCTACTTAATTCATGCCAAATGGCAAGATAGATTAAATAGACTTGAATGAAGTTAACTTGCTAACAGCAGAAAATTACAGTAAATAATGACAGGAAACTAAGTGCCCCAGTTTTGAGCAGATGGTTAATCAATTTTTTCAATAAGTTAGGAAATTTAATGAAAGTGCTAGAATTTTAGTTTTTCTTTAACTGAGTAAAGAAATATTTATTGTCAACTGCATTTTGCATGAAATTTTTCTGGTTCTTAAATCATCATGTTCACAACTGGTGCATCCACCTTGTAGAAATATTATTGGTGGATTATATTCTAACAAGCCAACGCTTGTTGAGTATAAGACAAATTCAATACCAACAGTAGGTTCTGGAATCCACTGAATTTATTTATCTAAAATCGAGAAGAGACTCGTATTTCCTCTTGATTATAGCAAAATCTACCTGAGTTAGGCACATTTACAACTCTTGTTTTATATTTTAAGAAAAAGAGACTTGTTTTTTCAGGGCACTAAGTAATATGTCAATATTTATGAAACCACCAGGGTGAACTATAGTTTGAATTTTCAAAAGTATACGAGGCAATATGTCACAAAGAGAGCGTAATAGAGCTTAAAAATTAAATTTTGAAGGTGAATTTTAGTCTGAGTATACCATTTTGGAATCAGCTTTATTTTGAGTATTTAGGATCTCGTTCCTTTCAAAAGTATTACTCAACACCTTCCAACGCCATGGTAATTCAGAATATGACTTTATGGGGTCATTCCTAAGGATAGTTTTTTTTTTAATATTTTCTAACTAGTTCATCGTATGGCTAAACCCAAAAAGTCAGGGAATTTTGTCATTTTTTGTCATGGAAAACCTGGAATTATCAGGGAATTTCATTTTGTAAATCTTGTAGACACCCTGTAATGAGAAGTTATAATTTAATCAAATTATCATATTCTCGTGGCTGATTATCCATTTGCAGGAGCTTGAAAGGATCTGAAATGGACAATCAATCTCAAAATGAAACAGATGAAAATGAACGTTACAGTGGCGAGGAAGAAATGGAGGAAGAGGAAGAAGATGATAACCAAGGTAAGAATTGATATTTGCTGAAATGAATTTTATTAGCATTGACTGTTCATTATTTCTTCATTAGATTTATCATCGCTGTTTTCCAAGGATATGTGTACAGATGACCTTGGATATAACTTCTTGAATATTAAATCTCATTTACTTTGCAAATAAGAATGAATACGAACATTTCTACAACAGCAGTATTTTTGAAGAAGTCAACTTACTAAAAGTTGATGAACAACCTTTAGGAATAAAAATTGTGATGCCTTAAGCATAATGTAACTGAAAATTAAAGAGATGAAACGTCCATTTTTTAATATATGCTTAGTACTTAAGATCTACCTCCAATACTTTAGATCAAAAATTGAATCTTTTATGCTCTTTATACTTTTAATCTCAATAATTTGTAAAAGAGCTCACCATCGACATAAGGAAATTCATGTTAGTTGATTGTTGTGAGATGGAGATTTTTATCGCTCTACCACATTTCATAGTTGCTCCAATGATTCTACTTTGTTCAGAACCATAACTTTTTCCACAGCATCATGTTAACTACCCTTGCAGTTAATGGTTGAGAGGCATGCAAGGAACATGACAAATGCAAGTGATGAGGATAGTTTTGGGCTGGCTAGTGCTTATTTCACAATGAGTTCAATGTTGCTCTCATTATTGAAGGTTGCCTTTGATAGAGGAAATGAGAGGGAACATTATTTGAGGAATCATTCATATTACAAGATCGAAAATCCCAAAACAGTTTCTTCAGTTTATTGTCATACTGAGTGCCTATCAGATACCTACCAAGTGCCTGTTTGTCAGGATGAAAGAACCAAATCACCTTAATTTAAAATTGGCTCTTGTGGGATTGTGATAGCCACACTATTTGATCTCTTTCAATTTGAAGTTTTCCTCAAGACACGCATCAAAATTTTAGCTGAAGTTTGTGGCAACTCAACTACTTTAACAGACAAGCATTACTCTTAAATTGAATAAATCAGGTTCTGTTGTTGAGGCAACCAATCCAGTCGGAGAAGACTACGATGAAGAGCCGAAGGGACGGAAAACGGCATTGCCGCGTAAAATGTCTGACACTAGCCAAGCACAGGAGACCAAGCCGATTCCCGCGGGCACCTCATTTTTTATAATGTCCCAAGACAACAGGTGAGGTTGCTCGAGGCTGGTCTGTCTTTTCTTCAGTCAGACCCTTTCGGAATGAAGAATGAATTCGGTTACTCATAGTTTTGCTCTTTTTCTTTGAGTTTTGGCTTTTTGGAATGTTCTTGCGACCCCTTTCCCCCTTTTTTTCCTCTGCTTCCACTCAGTCTGTCTCCTGCGCAGATCACCATAAGTACGCATCCATTTTCAGAGATAATCTCAAGGAATTGGAGGCCTGTCACTCCATAAACACACAATATCTTGTACCCTCCTAGTAATTTGTTTTTTGTCTCTTTTAAGGTAACAGTAGTATTGCATAACTAAAAGCTACTTCTTTTGTGAAATCTTAGATTGTGTTCTGGATGTTAATGAAAAGAAAGTCTTGGGAATTTCAGTATCAGTTGGGAATTATTTTTATTTTAGCGGGCCCCTTGCTTCAAAGCCCTCAAAAATGCTAATTGGCCAAATAATAAATAATAATGATGCTCACAAAGTTTATCCGAAGTGTTAAAAAAATTTATCTTTATTTAAATAAGTACATAAATACCACCGCCATTTTAAATTAATTTATTATTTTTATGTTCTAAATTTTTATAAATCATGAATACACAACACAAGACAAATATTGTGAAATAATGTGTGTTTTTTTTACTCAGCTCCTGTCTGTAATTCAGCTTTAATTAAGTAAAGTTCAGATCCATGTTTCTTCACCCCCAATGTTCAAATATCTACGTTTTTGGTAGCCAATCTATGCCACAGCTGTAAAGTATTTTTGGCCATTCTAATGTAAAGAAAGATTGATTTGAAGTCAAGGAAGCAATTTAGTCGACAAATCTTTTTCTTTTCTTGAGTTTTCTTATTTTTAATACTTGAAGAAGCAACTGAACAGCTAGGTATCTGTGTAGTCCAGAAATGACAACAATCTTCTTTGATCCAATGTATAAACTGTTGTTTAAGATATTGTCACCTCTTAGAAAGAATCAATAGGTATCAAATGTAAATCCTCAATTTTGTATTGGAATCTATAGAAATGCTCCAGTAAAGTCTTCTCTACAACCACTGCTACTTCTGTGCGGAGGAACCTTAAGAATTAAACAAGACTCCTTTTTTATTTAGTTGCATGCAAACGCTGAATCTTTAATTAGAAGTTGTAGCAGTTAGAACTCTGAAATTCTCAGCTTTCAAGTTTGTTCACCCAACGTACATGTATGGAGATTGATCAAGAGATCATACAAGTCCTCGTAGTGTAGTGGCAAATTGTATCACTTAATCATTTAAGGATCACCTTTGATCATTACAATTCATTTCTTATTCCCTAGTATTTTTGAACATTGGTCCTCTATCTTAAAGCTATTCAGTTCAGTTCAAATAATATTAGGAGAATTTCCCAACGCAAACTCAAACTCTCATTTCATCAAGGATATCAGTCAACCTTTTTGTAAATAATCTTATCGTTTGGTTTCAAAACCTTCAACATTTACTCATTTTTCAGAGTTTTTCCACTTGCCCTAATAATATTGTCTTTACAGAACGTTAAGAAGAGATGAAGTGCTTGTAACAGAGGAAAAAAAGAAAGGAAAAAACCTTGTGATTTGGGAAAGGAAGATGGAACAAAAAATGGGTTTTAACTTTAAGACTTTCATTTCCTTTTTGCTTGAAGTGTGTGAAGACTTTTTTGAACCGGTTTTCATCCTGCATTTTTGGGTCTGTTCCCTTTTCTTTGAAAAAAAAGTAGTCTAACTGAGCCATTTAAAGAGATTTATCAATTTTAGAACTTTAACATATCCTACCTCAATATAGTACAATTTCACCACAAGATTATCCAGAAAAAATTAATAAACATTACATTCAGAAAATGAATTAGCATTTGCGGCCCTGTGAGTAGCAGCGAGAGCTTCGATGGATTATGTTGAAGAGCATGTCATAGGATGGAGACTTACCAAAATTTCCAGTCATACTTAAGATTTTATTTGAAAAAACAAGTGATTTTAATGCCTTGCATATCATTGCTAATGAAAGTCGTTAAAAGTGAGCTATAGGCGACATTTTCAATACTTCAATTGTGACTTATACCTTAAGCATGACTTTTGATGGGGGAGTATGTAGCAAGTCTTAAAATCAAATCTTTTTCAAAGGCAAACTGACCCCTAAGAGTTTTTCAGAGAAAAAGAAACCTTTCAACTCTCATCAGAAAGTCTTTCTCTCCAAGCAAAGATTCATTCTGGCTAACAAAATAATGCTGACTATAATTCTTAAAAATTCATAATAAAAAATTGCCACTGAATGAGCATTATTCCATGTCCTCATGCCCCTCTCCTCTCAATTGGTAGACGATTTGTTGTGCTACTTTTCAGTATGCTTGGCCCTTATTCCAACACTAATGCTGGGCAGGGGCTTTGATGGAAGAGGTCACTGTTTTGAAAAGTCTTCAAGCACTCTTATTGCGTTGAATTGTTTTTATTCATACGAACACCATATTGCATGTTTTGAGTAGACTCAGATGATTTACGGGAGGATCCCTCAGCGCGCCCAAGACGCCTCTCTGAATTCAACATGGCCACTAAAAAACAGCCCATTCCAAATGCATCATCATTCTTCATTTTTTCACCAACTAACAGGTGAACATTTTATACATTAACTCAATATGTAACAATTTTCATAGCTCCTCAATCTGGTCACAGCAAACTGAAACTACAGCTATTATAACTATTGTTGTAATACCTCTTTTAAAAAAACATGAATGGATGTATCCATGAAAGGGGATGTGCTGATAGATTCCTTGCATCAGATGATGTCACTACTAGAAGAATATTCATTTTAAAGGGTTTTTTTTATTATTACTATTATTTTATTTTATTTTATTCCCCTTCCTCTCAAGTATAAGAAATAAAAGTTCAGGGAACCCTATCAAGACTTCTAAAATCTATTTTCTTGGGTGGTGTTCATCAATAGTTAAGCACACATAGCAGTAAGGGAACAGATGCATTGGAATGTTGATAAGACGTAGCATCTTGCTCATAAATTGCACTTGGTTCGTACTAGCCACACTCAGTCTAATTTTCTTACCTGAGCTTTGCCTATTTTTTTTTCATTTGTGACAATCTACAGGAAAAGGGGCCTCAGACTACAATTGAAATTGTTTAGCAGAGTCATTTTTATTAAGTAAGGTTAAGAACAAGATTTTGAAATTTTAGTGGACAACTTTTCGTAGTGCTCCGACAAATAAGTTGCCAACGGTTGAATTCCTGTTTGTGCCAGCATAGGCTAAAAGTTGCAACATTATCTGGCAATTTTGTACCATCATTAGATTTTAGAGTAGCATTTTCTGGAATCTAAGGTTTTTGAACCGCAAACTTCAATCCGTTAATTCTCTGGTTTGATTTGCTTAGTATTCATCAAAAACTTTTAGTACTCTGGTTTCTGTACCTCAAATTGGGATTTCTGCGGATGAGGGTCCCTTTTTTGATAGACTATCACATTTGTCTGGAAACAAATGTTACACACACCAGTCATAATTTTTTTGCTTAAAGTAGGCCTAGCACACTGATTTTTCTTTCAGATAATTCGGTTTCATTGGAATTTTAGATCGGACAAGAGTTTTTTTTTTTTTTTTTTTTTTTTTTTTTTTTTTTTTTTTCTAAATGCATTCCTGATTACACACTTTGACTCAACTTTTTGAACATCATACATATCATTGCGAAGTGCTAACCAATGGGAGAGGTGGCACTCAACAAATCAGCATACTCTCCTGTCAATGGATTTGTTAGATAAATTCAGGAACAGTAAAATTTTACCCATCTCTACTTTTTCCTGTAAATGGGCACCGATTCTATATACTTTCTCTTCAAGCAAAGCCCCCAAGAAGACCTAAGCCAAAATTAGATCCTCAAAATCTCTGGATTTATTCTCCTGATGTATATCAAAATCTCCTCATCGTTGATTTCTATGATCAAAGCTTGAGTCTCATTGATAACACAATTTTTTTCGTTTTTGGTAGTGTAGAAAATTACCACTTGATTTTACTGATTTTTGTGCGAGTGCCGGTATTTGCATTCAGTAGTTGATTTTCAAGGACCTTGCTTGATTTGAGCCTCCCATTTTACCTGTTTGGATTTCCTCAAAGGAGTGATTATCATTAGGCTAATAAATGAATTTTCGTTTTCTCCTTTGTAGTGCCAAATTGATTGCAGTCCTGCTTTATCACATTTTATTAGTCTGAGAATATTATTCCTAGAAATGATATGGAAGCCAATATGTCATTAATAGATCAAAATTTTTAACCATAGATGATACGTTTCCCTTTTTCAAATTTTAAACAAATTTATCTTATGAAGGTGGTCCAAATTTCCTCTTTTTCTCTCCCTAGAACTATTGAAGTTACAAAAATTATTAATATTCTTTCGTAAAGCTAATACTTTATTATATTAGCTTTATAGCTTTTTGTTTTTAAATCAATTGATTACTTAGGAGCAATTGCATTTCCCTGTAGCCTCTTCAGACTATTTACCTTCATTTAGGAAAAAAAAAATGATCTCCTTAGCTATTGAAGTTAGAAAAATATTAAATAAATTGTTCAAATACTTCCACTTCCAGAAATCGTGTATTTCCAATTCTATCCTAAAAACTTTCAGTCACCTTTCAAAAGGGTTGCAGAGTTTTTCCTTCAACTTTTTATGCGATTAAAAGAGCAACCTTACTGTTCAAACAAGAAAAAAAGACTAAGGAATAGCTAACTGTAGGTAAAAGCAATTTTGGTTTTGTTTTCCCTGCAAAATGATGTGGATTAAGCACCATTTCATTACCTTGTTACTTACTGTTTAACAGGTAATATTTTCAGCTATTTAAAAGGCTGTAGGTTTTCGAATGGAATCCCTATAAATTGAATTTTTTTCAGTCTTGAGGGAAAATAGACTTTTTTTTTACATTGCTTGAGTAATTCGTAAATGAAGAGCTACTTCCTGCTTCAAATTTTGCAAATTTCAGTCATTTTACGAAGCTAAAATATAACTTTTTCAATAGTGTAAATGTTTTTTTGGTAGCATTGACAGTTGAATCACAAACCAGAGGTGGAACATAGAAGGAACATAGTGACAAAACATAAAGCTATTGCTCTTTTAACATTGTCATCAAAGTGGAATATAAACGTGTTCAAGGTGAATCTACATTCCCTGTTCTCATGCAGAAATCTTTCCCAAAATCTTAAAAATCTCAAAAATTGTGAGATTAGTTTGTTTTCATGACAGTAAACCTGCATACATCTGTTTAATGCAAGAGGATCTATCTTCTTTCAAGTGCATTATTGCATCTAGTTTTTTCCTTTTTCAGGTTTCGTGTATTTTGTCATTGGTTTTGTAATCACAGCACTTTCAGTAATGTTATTTTGGCCTGCATTCTTATTTCGTCTGCCCTGTTGGCTGCTGAAGACCCGCTGACCTCTGAGAATCCACGCAACAAGGTACACTGTCCATCTTACGTAAAGATAATTTGTAAACTCTCACATGCTGCAAAATTTTTTTACAGATTGAGACCTAACAATCCAAGTGAACTTCTTTATTCTGTGGAAATCAAAGAAATTGCAAAAGGAGCAAAAATTAGGCAAATTTGAAGGTATTATATATCTAGCTATGCAATAATACGAAGATACCTATACAAAACAATAAATTATAGTACTAAGTAGTTTTAGGTTAATCACAGGACTTGTTTCAACATTGGCTATAATAACGAGATCTATCATAGAAGCATTGATGTATTGTAAACATCGATGCGAAATTTACTGAAGGCTCTGAGCAGTTACTTCAGATCTGGCCCAGCGCAACACAGATGGCTCAGAGCTGCTGCTTTAGGACAACATCATAAAGAGGATAATTTTTCCTAATCTCAAGTAAAATTCTCGAGTAAAATGTATGAAAACTTTCTAAATCATGATTAATTTCTCATTAATTTCTCATTCTGGCTACTGTAGGTAATGAGCTTCCATGGAGCAGATTTTGTTGTTTAAGAAGTATTGAGATTGACCTGCATGAAGATCAGCTATTTCATTCCTGTAGGGTCTGACTGCTACCAATTTGGTTTTTTCTTCTGCCTAGGTGTTGGTTTATTTTGATTATTTTTTCACCACGGTGTTCACAACAGAAATTTGTTTCAAAATGATCACTTATGGATTCATTTTTCATGATGGTGCATTCTGCCGCTCAGCATTCAACCTTCTTGATCTCCTAGTTGTTCTAGTTTCTTTAGTTTCAGTCTTTTCAAGGTAAGTTGTAGTCTGTTTTAACATTTCATTATTTACCAGGCACTTCAATAATTTTGAGTTATTATCCTGCTTTATTAAACATTAATGAAAAATTAACTAGCAGCATAAGACTCTGGCACAGCAAATATTTTTTTCCAGATGCTAGTCTTTAGCTCAATTCTTGCTTTATGGCAGTCTCAACAGCTTTGGCAAACAATTCTAACTGAACATGGCCATACCCTCATACGGTATGAACTTGGCTGTTTTAATCTCCCACTCTACAAATGATCAACATCTCAATCCCAACGCAATTGAACAGGGTGGACCAACAATTGCCAGATGGTTGCCTCCCTCCCATTCTATTATCTCCGCGGGGGACATAGGAGATATTGAAAAGGCATGGTTATTCGCAGCAACAATGGCAGATTTTTAAGCTTCTTAAAAACAATGTCACCTTCGAGGATCGAACATGGGCCCTTGATGCTTGCAGCAAACTGCCTTAACAATTGCACCACCTAGGCTATCTCAGTAACTACCAAAAAGGCGTATCAATTAACGAGTGTAATAAGTATGTCTAAAGTTAAGCACATAATTTTTCGTTTTTTTTGTTTAATATTCCTACCAATATTATCCCTCATTATAGGTCTCTTATATGAATGATGAACAGGTTTCCTAAATTGAAGAATTTATTAAAATACCTAGTGGTTTATAATAACATTAAATTATTTTTAGATGTCATAGATAAAGATTTTATAACCAATACTTTTTTAGAAACACAATTCAATTTGTAGAAGTAACTGTTCTTTCCCTCTTAAATCAGCTTTTCTTCCTGAATATTTTAGAAAACCTTTTAGCTTATCCAAAAAATTGAATTTTGCCTTTCAACTTTCCTCTTTTCAGTTCAGGTGCTGTCTCGTTTATTAAAATTTTAAGAGTGTTTCGTGTCTTGAGGCCTCTGCGTGCCATCAACCGAGCTAAAGGACTTAAGGTATGTATCTGAAATTTTTGCATCTAACTTCTATCCCACATTTTACAAACAATCTTCAGCTGAATCTCCTCTCTTTAAAATTCTTTCGTAAAGTATTCCAATAGCTGAAACCTTCCTAATCATTAAAAAAATATGAAAACCGCACAATATAGTTAATTTTTCCTCTTCTCTCTACCATGGGTACTGAATGCTGAAATTTGATTATGCTTCAAAAATCATAAGCTACCTTGGGACTCTAAGTTGAATGATCAAAAGACATTATTCCTTCATCACTCTTTTCAAAGTGAGGTCTGTTAAAATTTCTCATGATGATTTAATCTCTCTAATTAAATTTTTCAGCAGAAGAGTAACGTATTTTACACATTGAATTTTTTACATTTGAAGTCATTTGACCTTCTGTTCCCTGACAATCGAAAACCGTAACACCTCTCAAGTCGAACCAGAAAAAGGAAATAAATAAGTCCTTCAGACAGAAGAGAGGCAATGTCGTACAATGTAACACACTGATGAAGTAGTTAGATTTTATTTTTTTTTATTCAGCAATTGTCTATGATTATCCTCTGATTTTAGTGAAAACTTAATGACTTTCCATCCATTCGGTTTTTTTATTTTTAGAGCTTACTTTTTCTCTATCTCCAAATTAAGAAAAACATAAAACATAAATAGGAGGAACAGCAAATGTAATCTACTAGAAATCTCCAATTTTTTTTTTTTTTTTTTTTAATATTAATTTTAAATAAAACAGCTCTCCTTACGGTACATTATTCTTTCAGTTTAATATGTTGTATTTAGTTTTTGGTTTTTCTTTCAAGTTCATATCAATGGTCTTCTTACTGTGGCTCTCAATCTTTTTCATGCAGCCTCCATTCAATTTCTCAAATAAAATCCTTTTCCAGACTCAATTACGAGTGACAAAGTACTCTCAGCTTGTTTCATCATCTAACTCATTGAATGTTATCTCATAACTTATTTCTCTATTGAAGTAGGTGAGCAACTATTGGTTGCTCTTTACCTTTTGAAAATTCAATTGACATCCACGCATTCAGTCGATTACGAAGTCAATTAATATTGAAGGTATTCCATGTGGAACAGCAACCACAGCAAAAGCCAAGAAAGAGGAAGCTTTCAGTGTAAATATTTTCTCCTTTTTGGGATGGAGGGAAGGGGGCAAGTCATATTAGTTCACATTTTTTGCCTTGCAGTTTTCCATGAAGCTTAATCTTTAAACTGTTCTGCACTGCTGTTGCAACATAAAACACTGCATCGTTGAAAATTGGCACTATCTTTCCAGCAGACAAGGGAAAAATGAAAAATGAAAGATTCTAGTTAAGAATAAGGACTTAAATTAAAGTAGTTTTAACTTTTCATGTTTTCATATTGAAGGGTGGTAAAAACTCCTCAAAAATCTCCTTGGCTTTTGCTAAGGTTCCTCGTGAAAATCGTATTTCTGTGTAGTTTCATCAGCTTTAAAAAAATTTCATAGTATTTCTTAGTCGACAGTTGGTTGGTAAAATTTTGCAAAACACGCTTACACCAAAAAATTTGACAGAAATGATAGCCAATGAAATTGATCTCATATGTTTAGCATGTAGTGCAGTGTGTCATAGTAGCCGTAAAAACTATCGGCAATATTGTGCTGGTTACTTGCCTTCTTCAATTCATGTTTGCGGTTATCGGAGTCCAGTTATTCAAGGTAGGGCTATGGCTACAAGCTCCTTTCCCGCCTTTTTCACCCTATGTTTTGAACACCCAATAACCCTACCTAATCATCCTGTTGCGTTCCTGGGGTTTTGCGATTTTTACACCTGAACTTGGTTGATTCACAAATTTTCATGTCTACTCAATTTATTTCCTTCCCTTTTCAGTTGCACACAAAAAATCTGTCATTCTCGGCAACAGTTGTCTTGGAAGTGTGTGAAAACTCATTTCTCAGTCTGAAAGCGAATGTCATTTAAAAGCCATTGTTATTTGAAATTTGACTTTAGCTAGTAAAAATCAGGATCAATTTAAGTTTTCCCGGGGGAGGGGGAAAGCAAATTTCTTCCTCATATTTCAAAAGAAATTCATATATTTTCTATGACAAATACTTTTATCCATTATCATCAAGTCTTTTGAAGGGGCTGGTGATCTCTACTATTGCCAGATAATGCCATTTCTTCAAGGAAAATATTTTCTTATCGAAACTGAAGTACTTATTCAGCTATGTTCACTATATTTTAATATGCTGGTCCTATAAGAAGACCTGCTCAAGCTTAAAGCGCCAAATTTTGAGAAAATTTTGCTTTGTTGGAAAAATTTGGCTTAAAATGCTGGCCGTATTTCTACCCTAAATCCACACTACTCTATGTTCCATTGAAGAAACATTGTCAGAATGCCTGACCAGCTTGTAGGAAATGTATTAATCATCATTTATGGTGATTGTATTTTAGACCAAAATAGCCTTTGAGATACTTGTTATGTTCATCTTTGACAGAGTTGTCATTGTTCTTAGAATGTTGAGGGTTACATGCAAGCTCTCCCTGAAAGGATACCTCTTATTGAGTGATTCAAGGAGCTTACTTGAAAAACCAAGTAACGATTGATATTTCCAAATTATTTGAAGATAGCAGCAGCTTTAGCACAAAAATAAATCAGCAATCATGATTTGAAACCATTATGAGGAATAAAGAAAAAATGAAAGAAAAATCTGAATCAATTGTATGCAACTAATAAATAATGCGGGAATAAAATTCTTTGCAACTTTATTTGCTGCATCTAGTTTTAGTTTTTGTAAAAAGAGAAAGGAGAGGTTTTGAGGCGTTAATGTAGCCTCAAGAATGTAGTATCTGTGATGAATCCATCTCATCGGAGCTGTGTTTTCTACAAACCTAAATCAGAAATTTAGATTAAAGAAATGTAGGTATAGTTTTCATTACTTTTATCAGTACAACTAGTCATTTTTTCTTTCTGCATTATTTACGAAAAAAAAAAACATAAGTAAATGGTCAGCCATGTTAATTTGATGCAGAGAATTTTACGTTAGGAAAAAGAAGAAATCTTTGCCTTTTTCTCCCAACATTCTTCGATGAATATCGTACGTTCATCATATGATTTAATCATCCATCTACTTATATGACGTCAAAAGATTTATATGTTAGACTCTCAACTTTTCTATAGTATATTTTTTTTTGTTTATTTAACCAGTGCAATCAATTTCCCTAAATAATCAACTTTAAATGATTCATTTTGAACAAAACTTTCAACTCATGCACAATATTGAAACTTACTCCCTATGGTACAGCAAGGAGCTATTTTGAGATCCACTGAGGGTACAGCAGAAGGTATTGAATATGAGAAAGAAATGCTTTTTTACTACACAAAGAACACTGTATAATAGTGCAAAAATATTGAAAAATTATGCTTCAGCATTTTCTAAAAGTTCTATAGTGCACTCTCGGTATATTCATTTGCATTTTTTTGTACTTTTTTTTTCATTCCCATAAGGAATTTATTCTTTTGATTGCCCTTATTACCAAGTGCAGAACAGAGCCTCCCTTCAAAAAACAATAATAATAATAATAATAAAAAAAAATTAAGCCCACGTCCTGTTTATAAAACATGATGAATGCCTGAGCTAAATAAGTTGATACATGGTCAATCAAAATACAAATAACCACAACATGAAGACCAACGCATTTAATTACATCATCGGAATCTTGCTGCCCATAATAATCACTTACAATAGAGACAAAAACTAATAACAAAAATAAAAATAAGCTACATTAAAACTGTAAAATTTGAACAGCCAAAAAAGATACCCATGAACATTACGAGTGATATTTGTTTTAAATTTTAGCCACCTTAATGATGGTCTGTATCAACTGCTTATTATCAAGCCCTCTTTTCTTAAAATTATTGTCCTCTAGTTGACTTATCCAATAAGTCATGTGTGTATTTACACCAGTTTACACACAATTTTTCTCGCGAAAGCAGATTTTGAAGGCATTTTGTTCCCTATCAGGTACCCTGATCTAAATTTCTTATTAAGAAAACCAAAATTTGACCACCTTGCTATGCTATGCCTGACTTTCAATGCCTTTGATTGATATGAATAATCTCTCTCCGGGCTGAAATGACTAAATGCATGAAAATTGATTGGTGTGAAATTTCGACCCCACTCCTGTTTTCAATTTTACCTCCTCTCTGTGACTGAAAGAGCTCTTCGTTTCAGCTGTACTTCTCCGTCTCATCTTATGAAATAATCTTCTCTTTATCTCTCTGCCCTCCGCTCTTTTTTGGATTTTTCAGGATTCCTCTTTTTCATCCCTGTCTCCTCTATTCTCTTCTCTGTCTCTCTCTTTTGCTATCTTATTTGCTGATTTGCTACAAGTTAAAATTAGAGCCTTTAAAATACATAAATCGAGGGAAAACTTATCTTTCAATGGTGAATGGTAATTGATTTACATTTCATTTGAAATTGATTATTTTAGTCTTATTTTTCTAAATTTTCATCGACGATAGAAATGTCTTTTAAGTAGGAACACACAAAAAAAGAATAAAATTATTTTAAAGAGCGAGCAACTGAGGGGCATAACGCAAACCTATCCTTGTCTTCTGTTCAGTGGCAGTTTGATTGTTTTAGAGTAATAGGAAAACAGCTAGGTAATTATCTTTTCCTCAAGACTGTGTTGTATGCCTTTGCACTTATCAACAGAATTATTATTGCTTAGTTGGTATTTCTCAGTTTTTTTTTCTCCCTCTGAGCATTGCAGTAATAAAGTAATGTCAATTGCTTTAGTAGTTTTGCAAAATTGTGCCGTATTTCGTGTCTAACTTTCCATGAAGCACTAACGAGGCAAATTCTAGTAGAAATCACAAAAACACAAATTTGCACCTCTGTCTTTTAAGTGAGCACTAAGTGTTGCACAGGAGGATGCTTCCAGGAAAAGGCTACTCATCGATTTAAGAAGTAATTTCAAGACAAAGCATCATTTTTTGTGTCATGAAAAAGATGCTTCTGGTACTGAGAAGTAGGAGGTGGCCATAATTAAATGACTTTAGTGAGTTAAAATTAACAATATTACGTTGCAATGAAATAAATTACCATCATTGAAACATTTAAATCAGTGAATGCATCCAAAGTTTTTCTAGTCGTACGTAGGACTTCATCATGGTTATGGATGTTTTGCCACCTGTCGATCAATTCATTGTTTCCAATGAAAGATAAAAATTAAAACTTTATTTTTTGGTAAGATCCAGAATAGTTGAGTTAATCAGTGTAAAAGAAAAGTGCAAAGAGAAAATAATCAAGATACTGCAAATTCTGAATAAAAAAAGGGTAACAGATTGCTCAAACTACATCCTATGTTGTTTGATTGTTTTAACAATTGCCTTTTTGCCCTCTCATCATAATCGCATCAATAAAACTGGGCCAAAAACATGTTGTGTGCGTTTGTGAAGAGGTTTGAGAGCTGAAAAAATGCTCACATTGAACCACACCAATCAAACGGCTTCATTTTATATTTGACTATATAATTTTTCATCCAAGTACCTAACAGTATAGAAGGTTTGAGTATCATTCAAAGTGGATTCCTTACAATTTTTATTGTTTTATGGCCTAGATTTCTTAGCAGCAAACATTTGTTTTTTTTTTGTTGCTGTAGAAGAAGAAAAAGATTAAAATCTCAGCAGTTTGAATGCGTTTTATGTTTTCCAATTCATACATGCTACTTGACCGTTCAATTCTAATTTTCTTTGACTGGATTTTCTCGGACGTATCATGCTATTTCATTGTGAGCTCCTCTCTAGATTATGTCAGTTTTTATATAAGTTTGTCGCAAATCTTCGTAAGTCACATAATTGACTTTTCCACCTTCTGACCTACTTGAGCAGCCTTTGAAAAATGTTGATCCTCCCCCCCCCCACCTCCAAAAATGAGGATTCTAATAAAAACCTAGGTGTTTCTCACTTAATGACACGACATAACACACCTGAAAATTTTCGCCAGACCAATTGATAGTGAAAGTAAATTTATTTTGTGACATTTAAATGTGAAGTAAGTACACCAAAGAGATTTTTCTTTAAGCTTTACATTCCAAACTTACACAAGCAGGAGAAAATAATCTTTAAAAAAAAAAAAACGTACAATACAAATTTAGCCTGCATACTGTTACCTCCAGATTTTGCTCTCTCCTGGTGCACCAAAAAGTACATGCATATTGAAAAAAGTCCATGTATAAAGCAATTAAGGCACACATGCATTACACTTTGCTATCACACTCAATTGCTGTCTCTATGTATTGAATCGCAAATGTTGATTTTTGAGTGCCTTGTGATGTTTGCTAAGGAATATCATGTTTTTCTTCATTTAACTAAACTTTCATTGTGCCATAGAATTTCAAGATCAAGGAGGAGAGCCCTCTTCAACCTCAGTACATATGCCAATTAATATGTCCTTTTTCTGTTTCAAAGTTTTGCACACTGTTTTCTCAAGTAAATTATGCCTCGAACAGCAGAATCTTGAAATATTTTTTATTGATAATTTCAACACAGTTAGAATTATTCTCACCATTAAGACAAATATCTTACCATTTTTTGTAAGAAAACCTCCACAGGTAAAGAGAAAAGTCAAAATGAAATCATAGATTTGAAAATTTTAAGTCAAGGACTTTTTTCATTTGAATTTTTTAGCTTTGAACTATTCTTTCCTTTTTCAACTGTTTCTTCTTTCCAGTTTCATACCTCCTCTTCTCTGCTCTCGTTTTTCATCTAATCGAAGAACATTGAAGAAATCCAATACTGATTGTTGCCTTTAATTTAAGGGGTATTCAATATTGGCCAGACAACTAAGTCAATGAACCTTTAATGTGTACTCATTTAATACCCAAACAGCCTTGCATCGCCCAAGTGGTTTGTTTTTGTGTTATTATGTCTCCCTTCCATTTAATTTTCAATGATTCAAAGGTAAGATGAACGTTCAGGTTCTTGAATTTCCAAATAGTAGCCCAAGCAAAAGCAGTGTTAAAAATTGAAACCAAAACTTGGTGTCTCAATTATATTTCTGTTTGGTTTAGAATAGGAACTCATGCAGTTTCATTTCAGTTTTTTGTTTCGGAAAAATAAAGATGGCCTTCCATGGAAAATCCTTAATGATGGGGATCAATTTCACTGTTATTTTTTGCGGTAATGAAGAGCTCTTATTCAGAGTTCAATGACTAAATTCTAAAGTTCGGCGCACACATATGTCTCTTTCACAACAATTTTCACTTAGTATTATTCCATACCTCTCAAAGTTTCCTCTTTGGCACAACAAAATGAAAAAACGAATTTTCCAAAAATATTTTGTATAAAAGTAAACCTAAGTATTATTTTCAATTATCATTTGATCAACAGTCATGTCCATCTTCTATTCACTTAAATTTTTTACCTAGTGCTGTGCCCTAAACCAGACCATTAGCTCTAGACCAAGCAGAGCTCTCATTTGAGGTGGAGTTCCCCCTTTCTTGTCTTCCTCCTCCTCTTCTTCTTCTTCTTTTTTGTATTCTTCCTTTTTTTCTTTCTTCTTCTTCTAATTTGTCCCCTTCAAATGTTGTTGGGGATGGATTTAAGAAATCATGAATTTCTGTATTATCTCTCGATGTTTTCATTCCCTTAAATACTGAATCTATAAAAAGGAAACCTCTAGGCAAGTATTTTCTTTACTTTCCATTTGCTGGTTCTATAAGTATCGCAAAGCTTCAAAGAACTGACTTGAGCACACATAAATAGGATGCTGTTCGCTGTCTTGATTTTGCTCCTGAGCATTCATATTTTGGCGTCAAAAAAATCCTTAAACTTATGTAAAAACTAGTAAAAACTGTAGAAAGAAGTACTTAATAAGGTTTTAAAATGATTTTACCAGCTACCCAAGTAGTAGTGATCGCGATAAATAGCGACTTAATCGGTTGATTGTCGCGATTATATCGATGGCAATTTATCGCAATATTATCGAATAAAAAATTGCGATTTATGGCGATTAAATCGCTATGCATTCCAATTTTTTGTTCAATAAAATCGCGATCAATTTTCGTCGATAAAATTGAGATCAAATCGCCATATACCGCGATTTTTGTTGCGATAATAACGCGATAAATTGCCGGGCGATGAAATCGCGATTTTATTGCAACAAGATCGAGGATAATCGCTCAGATATTGATGATCTTAGCGATTTTATCGCCGACAAAATCGTAACAAATCGCAATTTTTCCTTTGAAAAATGCTACTTGAGTAAGTAATAAGCTAGGGTGAAAATGGTGTCTAAATAAAATTTGACCTGAAACTCAGAAAATTTAAATCAAGTTAGTCAAATCATTTGTAAAACTAGCTCCATTTTCTAAACCTCTTCCTTTTTCACAGTCTGCCAGAATGTAATTATACATCCAGTCACAATGAAAATAATCACAAGTTGCTCTGGAAATGCAAGAATTTTTAATTTAGCATATCAACTCAACTAACTGTATCTTCCAGACCCCCTCCCCCTTTACAATTTGTCAGGATTCAATAATTCATTATAATTTTTTCCTGTTAAATATCCACGAATTAACACTATTAAAAATTTGGGGATAGGTGCATTAGCTTTCCGGTGCAGCAATTATAGACCCTGATGAGTTTTTCAACTCCTCCTAAATATTGTTTTCCTTTCCTTATCTTTCCTTTCCTCTCCCTGGTGCAGCCAAACTAAAATTTTACTCAGATCGCAACCAAATTAACTCTTAATCAAGCACAAGGGTAGTTCATGTCCAATTAAAGCCAGCTGAGGACAGAACTAGTTATTGTTCATCAGTTAGCTATAGATCACTTATCGATTGAATATTACGCGCTGAATTCTGTGTATGACTTTCTTCTCTTGCAATGAATTGAAATCTCCTACAGGGACATGTACCATCAGAAAACTCAAGATTGCACAAAAAATTAGTGAAATACAGTTTCTAAGAGGTCAAGAATAAAGTTTCATACTGTCAACTGTGATTCAGAAATTAAGATATTTTTCTTATTGTATCTTGATTTGAAATTAAACATTTAATGTTGAGAAGATGCTAGAATTGCTTAAATTCTTTTGAATTTTCTCACACCCACTATTATGGTATTATTACTTTCATTTTTCTTATTATTTTCCAATCTATAGTAGAGCCAAGTTAAATTTCTATCGAATTTTCAAAAAGTTTGCACCCTTTTGTTCAGAACTCACCTTTTGGAGGTTTTTTTTAAAGAGTGTTTATTCCGGAAGGAAGGGGATGGTTCTGATTATATATGAATGTCATAGAACCTTTCGCGTGATTTTCACCCGCATTTGAGTTTTTCTGTCTCCAACCCGGTGATCCCTGATTTGCTGATGCATCTTTTTATTCCCTTTGTATATCCAATCGATGAGTGGACCTAACCGTTGTGCTGAACAAAAACACTCGAGCCTCTCCAGAACTTTCCTGTTTTGGCAGCTGAAAACTTGGGAAAGCTTTGTTGTTTTAAGTGTCAACCTAGCTCTTTTTTCCTCAATCTCTTCCCTTGTTTATAGTATGTAGTCAAATGCGTGATAGTCGCGATAAAGACGATTGGGAATATCATGCTGGTAACCTACCTCCTCCAATTCATGTTCGCTGTCATAGGAGTGCAGCTCTTTAAGGTAATTCGAGTTTCCCCTTTTCATTCATTATGCACAGTGAAAACTGGATAGAATATTTATAGATCACAGCATGTGTTAATAGCTTCCCACCACCCCTGAGTAAGATGGAAGCTGTAATAAAAACAAGCCTTGCATATGTCATGCATGAGAAAAAGACCAATATTCTCCAAATCATTCAAAACTGAATTATTTTAAGTATTGCAGGAGAGAGGATTATGTACAATCAGGCAAGAACCTTGACACACTTGAAGATATGCCAATCGTAGCTGTTAACAGAGAGCTCAAATATTTTGTTCTGTGAAAAACACTCCAAGCTCAGTTTTCAAAATATTGAGTATTATAAGCTGAACTATTCATCATTTTCCGTGAATAACCCAGCATGACTTGATTTAAGTCCAAACCTCAGCTGCCGTACTTCATTCACTTGATTCATCGAGCTCCAGAAATCCGTAGGATTTAACTTATTAAAAAGCCTCAAACTATTACAAATGAGCCCTCTTTAAATGTCCACCAATTATTCGTATGGATATCTCCTATTGAATGAAGTATCTTAGTCAACACCGTGTCCAGCATGATTTATCTTCTTAAGATTAATACTTGTCTTGGTTCTAATGTCTAAGATAAACTCCCTCTGCACAGCTGTATCACTCCTCTCCCCCACCTTCATCACAAACACGGAATAAATCAAAGGAATGAATATTTAGACGATTTTGGCCTCATTTTTCACAAATATGATGTAACTCTTTATGATAATGATCAGGCTCAGCAGATACATTTCCTGCATTTGCATTTATACTACATCCAACCATTCTTTTTATTACAACAAACTTACCTGTAATATAATAGACAATTGATTATTGGATGAACATTTCAAGAACAAAAAACATCAGTACCCTTGAAGTTTCTCTGGACTTTAACTGCGAGGAAATCTATTTTGTCTGCTTTTCTTTCAGAGAACTTTTAGATGCTTCTCTCATAGTTCCATAAATATTTGGCATTTCAGAGTGTTTACTTAAATTTTTCATCGTTTATATCCTCTGATTCTGCTCAAGGTTTAATTTCTCTCAAGATTTTCACAAGTGTACTTATTTTCCTCATTTATTTAACTATTTTATTGTCATGAAAGTTTTATTTTATGGTATCTCAAGTATTTTCCCCCTCTCTTTATTATTTATTTTCAAGCTATTTTAAGATTTTTGGTGGGAAAAATTTAGTGGTAATTTTAAGAAATATAATAGTAATTTCCTGTTAAATTCTGTGTCAAGAATACTATTTTTCTTGTTTATAATGACAGAAAAATTCCCCTCAGAGTCCTCCTACACCAGGGGTCATCTTACATTGGCTCCAAGGGAAGTAAATGCACAGTCAACAAAGTTTTCATTTCCCTTAAATTTGTCAATAGACAAATATTATCCAGTTTTCATTGTTGTCATCTCTTCTTAGGCCTGTCTGTCTTTGTACATCACTGTCTTCTGATCGGAATGTTTTCCGCATGCTATTGTGTCGTCTCCTCTGTGAACGTTTACCTTGAGGTTTGTTGCATGTGTGCATGCCAAATGCTACCTAAGGCCTTAACTATTGGTCCCTCATAATTATAATTCTATTCTATGTTTGCTTTGTTCCTTATTTTTAAATGGGGAACCTGGTTTCCCATACCTAATTCTCTCATGTTAATTGGGATATGAAAATTTCTGACGCAATGAAACATGTAATTTCTATTTCTGCTAGAATAGCACATTACAATTTGAAAAAATCTGATTAGTGTTGATTGATACAATTCATTTTCACAGAGTTCTCAGGATCATCAAGTTCCCGTTAGTGATTTAGTTCTTGCAAGGAAAAAGTGTTTTGTCAAAGTGCACTTACACCAAACAATACATTATAACTCAAAAAGTAACATGAAAAGGGGTAAAAAAGATAGTTCAGTACACGTAGACCCTGTAAGGTTACCAAAATGGTATTGCAATAAACTGTCAATTGCAAACTGACGACTATCTCTGCAGCACACAGTTTATGCTCTTTTGTCATGGTAAGCGAGTTCAGTGATCTATGTTTTTTTGCTGGCTTCTTTCAACGCAGTATACTTTGATGTAATTGCAAATGATTCAATTTATTTTCAAGTCAAAAAGTTTTGCAACTGAAAATGTACAACAAAAAAAAGAAAACATTCTCTTCATGATGCGCTATAGCCGTATGAATAATGAATACCTTTAATGTTTGTATGAAGATGAACCTATCCTAAATACACCCCATGCTATTTTTTCTTGTATCATCTATATTTTTCATTTCTTTTTGCACTTTAAAAGAATTTTCCAAGTCATCAAAAAAGGAGGTATCACTGTCCCCAAAGCTAAGAAAAAGATATCCCTCCTCTCCACCCTTTCTATCTTAGATATTTTAATGGTGGTGGACCTTTTATTTCTCATTAATGAAGTACCACTTTTTTTTTCAACCGAGAAATATGACACAAGTTCGCTGTCAGTGTTGAATAGATTGCCTCCATTACATCAACAATGATAACGCAATATTATTCTAATTTAAAAAACTATCTGAACTTCCCCAACCCTATCTTTGCAATTTGCTCATTTTTAGATCAGTACTTCTTTACAAGAAACAAAATATTAGGCTGATCATTGAAGTAATAATATTTCTTAGAATGCTCTATCTTTTAGCCTGATAATTTTTAAGTTTATTTGCAAGATTGACATGAAATTATGAGAATGAGTCAAAGCTGAGCTGAGTTTGAATAATTAGCTCCAAGACTCTAATGATTTGCAGTCAATATAATCCGATCCAGTTGCCAGACACTAATTGTTCAAATTCAAAGCGCGTTAAAAAAATCAAATGTTGGACATTTTTCATAAACAATCATAAAAATTCACCCTTAAAATGAAAAATCTCCTTTAAAAACTTACTGATTCCCTTTTGTGATTGTCCGTTTGCGGTATATTGTATCTTTAACTGCCACACGCCAGCGGGTTTTAAAGTTCAACATATCTTGATTTTCTATCGCTTTTCATGCTAAATAACAAATGTCTTGTCCCTTCTATTATGTGCATTCTTATTCCTTCCCTCCACTCCAGTTTTCCTGTCTTTCCCAAAATCTTCCCCTTGAGGTCCTATACCCATTTTCAAATGCACCGCGGCTCTACGACAAACATAATGTTCCCTATTTCTTATATAATAGACTGGTTTATTGTTGACAAGGGTAGGTGTATCAATAACTGGTCTGGTTCTAATTTTTTTTCTGTCTCTTTTTTTCCCTCTTTATCGTACGCACCTAGCACTCTTTATAATCGGATTTGATTCAGGTTTTGCATCCATGCCTGTCTGGGCACCAAACTTATTTTTATTGTAAGTACCCAGATGTTTCCAGTACATATTAGAAACCTTAAGAGTTTCTTTTGCAATACCTTTTTGGTGAGAAATAAGCTTAAATTATTTCCAATCTTACTTGTTGCTAAGATGGGTTGTTGTTAATGTTTTCGGAGCAACTTCCAAAGACTGCGGCTGTAAAAAAAAAAATTTGGAGGTATGTCTGACGTCAGAGTAGATTATAGTCTGTTTAAAGCAATCCTGTGTCGTTGTAACATCCTTCTCTTCCCTTCTCATAAATTATGAATCTAAACGAAATATATTTAGACTACTTTTAAAAATACTGAGGTACCTACATGGTCTGAATGCCAAGGTTTAATAACCCTCAACCATTATTTGGTACAATGCTTTTGATCAAAGGTAGTTGACATAATTACATCTTTCAAGGTACCTAATAGCAAGTAAAGGCCCCTCAACCCCTGCTCCTTTTAGGTGTAGATTAAAGATACTTAGAGTGCATGAAGGAGCCATACAGGTAGTTCTCTGTGTCTTTCAATGGATTTAAACCATTCATTCATTTTAATTTAGATTTGGCAGTATGTTTTTATCATTTTATTTCTAGTATTAGTCATCTAGTCAATGTTTTCCTATTCATAAAAGGTTTTGGTCTCTTTGAAATATTATTTGATTTTTTTCTCAGCATTTAGCAGCATAGGTTACAATTTATAGACTTTTTTTATAGTTTTTTACCTCAAAAAGAATTTTTTCCTTATTTTTTGCTATATTTTTAGACCAAGTAACAATGAAATTAGAAAAAGGGAAGGGTAAAACTTAAAATCCTATCAACTAGTATTATTTGCACAAAGATTAAGAATGTTTATCCTTTGTGAATTTACCAGGTGAAGGACTTCATTTAAAGCTATATTTTTCAGCCCTCAGTACACTTGTTCAGTGAGTTTATGGAGTCGACTGCATCAAAACCAATGATGCAACACCTGTCATTGCAATTTCACTGGAATACTTTGAATTAAGCATAAATTACCGAATTCACATCAAATAATACTTCAAAATTGAAGCATTAAAAATTAAATCATTCCATAAAGAAAATGTGAAAAGTTTAATTTTATTTGGTTCTTTTTCTGAAGTGAAATTTTTCATTTCAACTTGATCCTTTTGAGAAGAATGATGGACATTCCTTACTGAAAGACTTCCTGCCTCGACTTTAGAGATTTCCATGATTTAGCACTCATAATTTTTCTTTCCTCTCCTTTTATTTGCAATTGCAGATTTACCCAAAAATGATTTTAGAAAAATTTCTTCTGTTATTTTTTCTGGCAACAGGCACGACGAGTCTACAGAGGGCTGACCGCGCTAATTTTTTTAGTTTTGGAGGTGTTGCAGGGCTGAATGTTTTAACCAATTTTTGTACGATGCGAATTCTTTTTTGAATTTTTCATTTTACCCCCTCTTTTATATGAAGAATTTTAATTTGTAAGGTCTTGCAGAATATTTGAGCTCACAACACGAGGTGAGTTGAACAAAAGGCGCCAACATCTAATTTTTTTTTACCAAGAAGCATTCTGTTTTACTGTATCTAGATCTTCTGAGTCATTTCTATTGTCCACAATAATCCTACATGATGATTGTCAGATATTGGTTATCGAACTGGGAAAGAGAAAAAAAATAACGAAGGCTTTTGGTAATTTGTCTTAGTATGCGAGAGGCCAGAGTTTTTTCTCTCTTTAATTTTCTCTTCTTTTTCTTCTTTTTAAATTATTATTATTTTTGATGTATCAATGTTGAATAAATTGCTTTAACTTAAAAATATCATTTTAAGTGTAAGCAGAATTGTTAATGCATGAGTTAGTCGTATATTTGTTTAATTTTTTTATCTTCTTTAATGTTTTACACTTTTTAAATCAATTTTATTTCCCTATTTTTTTTTTTTTTTTTTTTTTTTTTCAATTTGGAATAAGTAAGCAGTATTATTTGGACTACATTTTGCAATTTGGAACTATAAATTCTCGCCCGGTTTAAAAACAACGTATGTGCCATTAGTTTCCCTATGCACATGAGTGTTTTTCCAGGAAAGCCAGAATTAATAGTTCCAAATTGCAAAATGCAGTCCATTTATTCTCCGTGTTTTCATATTAAGAAATAACTGCTTCACTCTAGATTACTCCATTTACTTTTCATTCACATAGTAGCAAGAGTTTTTTTTGTCAAATTTTTAGTTTTTTATCAGGTGGTGAGCATTATTTATTCTATGGTTGTTCTAATGGTGTATGTAGTTTTTTGTAATTTTCGGAGGAAAAGAGAGATTTGCCGTGTCAGAGGAAAAGCTGAAGGTGAAATAATGAAGGTTATTTGATCTGAACGATGTCTCAGTTCTCTTGATGAAAGGACAGTAAACTTAACCATTGAGTTTAAACAATCAAGGAATCCTCTTGTGAGCAATCATCCTTCAAACACTGCAATTGAAATTCAAACTAAATATTTTGACCATTGTTTTTTTCCCCCCATTTATGTGACTTACTTCTATAAAAGGTCATGATGTGTTAAAAATTTGTTGTGAAAATTCCAGAATAGTCGCATCAAGAGACATGAAGTTACTCTGATTCCATTCATGTCTTCAAGATTCCTAGAAATATTAATTCATCAAATCTTGTCTTAGCTTTGTAAATTGCTTTCTTCTATTTTATATAGAATTCACGATGTTTTCATTTCTAATTCTGTAATTCTTTTTGCCACTTGTACTCCCCTGTAGCGTTGCTTTTTTGTCTTTCACGGTGTACAACACAAATCTACCCACTTCTTAAATTGCTAACTTAGCAGATGGGAATTCATATGACTGTATGTTTTTGTTATTGGTATTGACATGCACTATTCTTGAGTTCTGATTTGTCCTCTCTTTGGCAAGTGGCTGATTTTTTTAGTGTATTTTCGAAAGTCAATTACACTTTTTTTTTCTTCTTTTTTTCAAATCTTCTCACCCTAATCTTAGATGTAGGGTAAAATATGAGATACACTATCATGCAGTCCATGATTGACAGCAAAAGTTAATCAAATTTCTGAATATTGAAACACAGTCTGTTTCTCAGTTACTACAATTTTTCCTCTGTTCCTCTAGTAAATACCTCATCTTTTCTAGCCGAAAGGGAAAAGTTCCATTCTTCCCTTTTTAAGAACTTCTTATTATTATATAAAAATATGACTCCTTTTTATTAATTTTTAATGCATTAGAAAATACTCATGTAAATGCGTTTAGGTAATCCTAATTTTAATCTATTTATTCTTGAGCTTCAATGCCCTGAAGATAAGTTAATAATACTCAAGTTTGATTTTTCTTCAGGGTTTAATTTTTTAAAGATAGGTGTCACAGGCTTCTGATTTCATCTGACACCAACTTTATTCTGCTACCCTTTGTGAGTAAATAGGATTTCGTGTTGATCTTTGTTGATTTTTAAATTCATGTTCTCATCCCTAATGTTTCACTTTTCAGGGCAAATTTTTTTCATGCTCAGATGGCTCTAAGATGACAGAAGCAGAATGCCAGTAAGTAAACTGTTAGTTCCGCCCTAATAAAAAAAAAAGAGCCACAGAAAATCATTCAATTTCAAATTAACAAGCAGTTCAAAAAATGCCATCAGTAGGGCGTTTCTCGTCTAATCATTTTCCGTCCATGTTGAACTATACGCAGTGTGACGGTTTTAATAGCACTTGCTGCGCAGAGGCTCTCCTACCACCCGTTCGCATGCCTCTTCTCCTCAAATCCTTTCCTTTCATTTTGACATTTTTCTCAACATCCCTTAACAGTTTCATGCATCTCCTGCTATATGTCTGTATTCCTGTCCAGAGTCGATTATTGATAAAACCAGGGGATGTGGATGCACTAGACACTATTGCCAAGACCGTTCTGTGTTGAAAGACATACATTTTTCTTTTAAAGTATGGGTTATCACAATGAAAATTCAAGAATACAAGAGGAAGCACTGTCAACACAGCATATTGGCACTTCTCACTTGTTTTGGTTCATTTTATTTTTATTTGTGAACTCATTCAAGTCTTTAATAAAGTTCAAAAGTGTCGTACATCTCTGAAAATATGAGCCGTGATGTTAGAAACGAAGTTAATTTTCTGTCAAGACCTTTAAGTATTTCTTCACTAAATTTAAAGGAAAGTGAATCAACATACTTAGTTACATGCTTATTCTCACCACTGAACTGTGAATTTATTTACTTTGCAGACAGACATCATTCTCATTTATTTTGGTTATTTCAGCAGTAAGCACCTGAGTATTGTTCAAGAGTTATCTTCTACAAATTTTCAAATTCTGGTGTATGTACAAAGATCTTTTCAAAACTTACACTTGAGACCCAATCTTATTGGCCACCACAGCCTTTTTTTTTTACTGAAGCGTTCTTCATTTAAGTTCTTATCCTTTTATTTTTAGGTAAAAAAATATATTTGACTTGATAAATCAACTCTCCTTTTCTCATCTTTACCCTCAATTATCCTTGTGTATTAACTCTTGCCTCTTTTCAATCTGTTTAGAGGCACCTACTTGGTTTTTGATCATGGTGATATCGATCGCCCAACAGTTGAAGAAAGAGTGTGGAAACGGAATAGATTTCATTTTGATGATGTAGCAAAAGCCATGTTAACGCTGTTCACCGTCTCCACTTTTGAGGGTTGGCCAGGGTAGGTTATACTCTAAGCAATAATTTGCTCCCTTTCCTCTTTTTTTTTTTTTTTTTTTTTTTTTGGGGGGGGGATGGTTTATTATCTCTGAAATACAGCTTTTATGAATTCTCTGGTCTGTGGGAATGGTTCAGTGTAAGCTCATAATTCACAGTCAAATGATTAATACAAGATACAAAAAGGCATTCCATAGGAAATCAATAATTTTAGTCATTAAGTAAAAAGCTCATTCTGCGTTGGATTTCCTAACTTGAAAATTGATTTTAAGACACAATGAATGTAAATTCATGTATTGTATAGTATACCTATATCTTTTATATCTGTCCATAAACATATAGGAATGTATAATTATTTCCTTCTAAATGCCTTTTTGTTACAATCCTAGAATAGGATTTTAGCAGATAATATCCTCCAATGGGTCATTAGTATAAAATTCCTTCAGAATATCCGACAGATGTTCCTTGTGTAAATTTTTATGAAAAAACCAAAAAGTCCATTAGAGAGTTTTATAAATCACTTTTAAAGGGAGAAAACCCTGATTAAAATCTGACAGACCAGAGGCGGACTGTTTTGATGATGTAGCTAGTCTATATCTTTGGATGGACTTCAGCTGGACTCAAACTTACCCCAATCCACAACAGACCGCCAAAAATATCGTTTCAGGTGGATCCAGATTTTGGCAATTTCTAAAACCGGTTTTCTTCGTCATTTCAAGTGAAAGAAATCCAAAGAAATTATTGGGAGTTCAGCTCATTTAGTACTCTAAGATAATGAATTAAGAAGAATATATGCCTTTGACCCATGGATCATTCCAGTTCTAGACCCACCTCTTCTGTACATATTGAAAAACTTGTTAACTACTCAATAAAATATGCATGTTGACGCTTTTTGATTTGTCCCTTTCTTTTCCCAGGTTACTGTATGTATCAATTGACTCAAATGAGGAAGACGTTGGTCCAATTCACAATTACCGTCCGATAGTAGCTGCTTATTACATTATCTATATCATTATTATTGCTTTTTTTATGGTTAATATTTTCGTTGGTTTTGTCATCGTCACATTTCAGAATGAAGGAGAACAAGAATACAAAAATTGCGAGCTTGATAAAAACCAGGTATTTATGTTCTCGTACTCTTGTTTCTTATGTGTTTGTATCTCAATAGAAAATCTCTGTTACCTCCTGTCATTGGTAAATTCAGCGTCTGCCTTTACCACCCCTCTATTTGCCACCTAGCCATTGCATTCCTGGTTCATGGATTCTACAGTTTTGTTAATGTAGTAAAATTTTTGAAACAAAAAGAGTTTTCAATTTTTACACTATGTCAATTATTATAAATACAATTTTTATTTATGAGGGTCATCCAGAAAGTACATCCTGTTTTGGTTTTTCTTTAGTACTTTACAGGCCAAAAAAAATTCAAGTACATATACTGCTAAAAAATGCTACTGTTTGATAACTTTTTGGAATTTCTTGGCTTTGTTTTCCCAGCGAAATGGTGTGGACTCAGCACCATCTCTCCACCTTGTTACATACGGTTCAGGCCATTTTTTAGCGTTTTTTCTCCTCTACATATACTGCTAAATACAGCTCCAATTAAAGCCTCTTCTTTATTTTTCTTCTTCAATTGTAGCTGGAAAACATGTAGAAGGGCGATTAAAATTATTTTCACAACCCCATGATATATCTTTGTTACTATATTTTGACTAGCCAAACACTTCTGTGTAAATGCAGGAGTTGTTACCTAAATCTTCAACGCCTCAGTAATGACAAAAAAAATTGTCTTTTTGGCAACATTTAGACGTTTCGGACAGAAATGCTTCTGAGCATCGGAGAGACAATGGATTTTAAGATTGAGGTGCAACTATTAATTCTTTACGTGCCTTTTTAATAGGCAAGTGACGAAGAAAAACAGTGTTAATAGCCAATAAATTGACTTCTTGTAGTGAGTCTAAATGTATGATTCACCTTGTAGTTAAAGTTTGCCAATTCAGACAGTTGTTTTGCAGCACATCTTGACATCATTTTAAAGAAATTTTCTGCATAAACTCTGATTTTAACATGTTTCTATAGTACTATTTTTTTTTTTTGTCTATGTTTCAGCGAAATTGTATAGAATTTGCGCTGAAAGCCAAACCAGTGCGTCGATACATTCCGAAACATAGATTTCAGTACAAAATATGGTGGTTTGTAACATCACAACCGTTTGAGTACACCATATTTGTTCTTATCATGATCAACACAATCACCCTAGCAATGAAATTCTACAAACAGCCACAAGGCTACACTGATGCTTTAGACGTTATGAATTTGTTTTTTACGGCTGTTTTTGCTCTTGAATTTGTATTTAAGTTAGCTGCTTTTCGTTTCAAGGTGAGTTCAAAGTTGATTCCTCCCTCTTCTTTTTCTTTTCCTTTCTCTTCAAAAAAAGGAAGAAAAGCGAACACCCAATTTTGAGACAAAAAAGTATCAATCATATACTTCCGTATTATAGTGTCCTCATTGGCTCTTCAAGTTTATATTCAAATATACTGAAAGTAGAATATTCTAGTACTTATATTTTATTATTTATTTAAGAGGTCCATTCAGAAAGGAGGAGTAACGTTTTGGGCCTTTTCCGGCCCCACCTGGATTTTGCTAAATGTTTCATATTTTCAAAGTACTAGTCTTAGGTAGACTCTGTGCCAAATATTAGACCGAACGGAGCCCAAGCGAGGGCGCAGCAGCGCCTCAAACCCAAAATCCTGGAATCGAAAAACAATTATTTTCGTCAACTTTTTCGACTGTTATCACTCTTCCAGCACATGATTCTTATGTATTTTTTTGCGTACTTTTCGTTTCTGGCCTTTTTAAAGGCCTCCGATAAATTTTAAGGGGCCTTATGGCCCATTGTTGCCATTTTGGGCCCATTTTTAGAGGTTTTTTCCATTTAACACATTCAAAACTCAATTTAATCCAAAAACTGTGTACATTTTTGAAAAGTACGTAAAAAAATGAGTAAAAAATGTTCTGTAAAATTTTTTCCTATGTTGCCAAATTTCCGAGAAAATTGGTCCCAAAGTGTCAAAAACGGCAAAAAATCGATAAATCGCCGCGTCTAAGGTTCAAGAAAGTGGAGTACATTTTTCATACTGTACCAGATAACAGCTCTTATCCATCCATACAACATACTACAATATCATGGTTGTACCTGAATTCCCACGATGTGAAAATTGACCGAGATGTCGATTTTAGCGGCCTTTTTATACTTGAAGGCAGCTCTTGATTAAACATCACGTCGGAGGTTCCAGGAAGTGAATTATGACATTCATGTGGATCGTGGGACACTTTCTCCACGCATTTTCTGTTGTTCGGTATTTTTGACCTGTAGCAAGCATCTTGAGAACCAAGGATTATCTCCAGGTTACAGGAATAAAGAGGTGAACTGGAGTGAAGGATAAAGTAAAAGCACCTTGAGGGCCCGTTTTGTCACGTTCATCTGCGCCATTACATGTTCCTTGAGATGCATTGCAATTTTCCATTTTCGATACGTTATTTGTAGTGAAAGAAAACTTGAAATTTACTTCCTGGAACCTTCGACGTGATGATTAATCCAATTTTTGGCATTTTTGGCGCTTCAGGACGATTTTTCTCGAAAATTTGGCAACGTAGGGAAAAGGTACAAATCACATTTTTATGTATTTTTTTACGTTCTTTCCGAAATTGTACACGGTTTCTAGATTAAATTAAGTTTCACACACGTAAACTTGAAAAAACCCCTAAAAATTTGTGAAAATTGGCATCAATGGACAGTTAGGCCTTTTAAAATTCACAGGAAGCCATTTTTATGGCCAGATATGAAAAGTACGTAGAAAAATACATATAGTACACACCCATAGAGGGTGACTAAGGTCGAAAAACATTCAAAAGAGCTGCCTTCAAGTATAAAAAGGCCGCTAAAATCGACATCTCGGTCAATTTTCACATCGTGGGAATTCAGGTACAACCATGATATTGTAGTATGTTGTATGGATGGATAAGAGCTGTTATCTGGTACAGTATGAAAAATGTACTCCACTTTCTTGAACCTTAGACGCGGCGATTTATCGATTTTTTGCCGTTTTTGACACTTTGGGACCAATTTTCTCGGAAATTTGGCAACATAGGAAAAAATTTTACAGAACATTTTTTACTCATTTTTTTACGTACTTTTCAAAAATGTACACAGTTTTTGGATTAAATTGAGTTTTGAATGTGTTAAATGGAAAAAACCTCTAAAAATGGGCCCAAAATGGCAACAATGGGCCATAAGGCCCCTTAAAATTTATCGGAGGCCTTTAAAAAGGCCAGAAACGAAAAGTACGCAAAAAAATACATAAGAATCATGTGCTGGAAGAGTGACAACAGTCGAAAAAGTTGACGAAAATAATTGTTTTTCGATTCCAGGATTTTGGGTTTGAGGCGCTGCTGCGCCCTCGCTTGGGCTCCGTTCGGTCTAATATTTGGCACAGAGTCTACCTAAGACTAGTACTTTGAAAATATGAAACATTTAGCAAAATCCAGGTGGGGCCGGAAAAGGCCCAAAACGTTACTCCTCCTTTCTCTACCAGGGTTTTCCTGGCCTCAAAGATGGTCCAACTAAAATAAATTAGAGGTTGTTTGAAAGCTTAAGCTCTTACTACCACACTGGTTTGAAGATTTGTTTAAGGCTTGATTAAGGGTTGATGTGACAGCAACATGTTTAATCCTTGAGATCCAAACCTGAGTTTTCCCTGTGCCCTGCGACTTCAACAAGCGATGCAAAAAGAAACTTTGCAATAGCACAAGAAGACGCTTGCACCAGCATTACAGAAATAGGAGCATATTTAAATTTGTCAGCTGGATCAGTCCATGAAATTTGCATGAACCCTTGGAATTGCACTTGATGGCATACAAATTTGCTCCTTGATTTCTATTGGATGATCTAAAAGTGTGTCATGTTGAAAAGTGTGTAGATCTTCGCTAAAGGGTTGCAGACAATCTAAATATCATTTCCAGGTTCATCACTAGTGATGAACTGAGGCACTACAGCTGCAATCCACAGACAAAGCAGTAAATGGTACTATGGCCATGATTCACAGACGAAGCTGCAAAGATTGCAATGGATTAGCCTTGATGATCTGTGACCGGAAGAGGTACATAAAGTGAAAAGCACAATGAAATGTCTGATTATCATGTTTCTGAATTTTCGCAGGAAAGTGCATTGCAAGAAACTCTAATTTAACTCAAGTGGACATGTTTAAGATCAGGACAACTCCAGTCTGGGAACTTTTTTAATACATCTTGTACCATTTTATTTTCGTGGCTCAATTCTCTCTTGTTGACGTCTCAAGCTCAGTCTTGTCCATTCTCTTTTGCTTATTGTCCAATGCCTCTACTTACCATACAATACATGAATGAGGTTGAATTTTAATATTGGTTAAGGATACTTCTTGCTTATTTAATAATGCCTTTGGTTTCTCCATTTCAGAATTATTTCGGAGATGCATGGAATGTTTTTGATTTCATCATCGTTCTTGGAAGTTTTATTGATATTATTTACACGGATTTAAATGTAAGTTCTCTCATTATACTTCTGATTGACTTGATCAACGAAGAGTTTCACTTTTTGTGTCTTTTGTAACTGAGAAAAAAGTTAAAGGAAAAGAATCTCCTAAGTTTTTCAGAATACTTGGAAAGCTGATACTTTTATTCTAATAATTTTACGCTTATGAAAGTTGAATCTTTTTTCTCTCCTCCTAAACCAAACTAGACTTTCTCCAGCTTCCTGGTGCAAACAAGGAAGAGGAGATCTTTTAAAATAGACTAAAAATGGAACTTTGGTTGACTGAGGTACGCATATGGCACAAGAGAAAATCAGAGCATGGGTAAACTTAACTTAACAATTTCGCTTAAAAGATTAAGAACTTATTATTCTTTATTTGACATGCTACCAATCTCTTCTGAAAACAATGTTGATCGTCAAACTTAAATTATGGCACACGTATGGTCAGACTGTTCTCAATGGGTTGCCGAATTGTTTGGTGCAATTTTTCATCTCAAAGACCAGCAACAGCGTCCTTTTTTTAACTTTTACTTTAATTGAACCCTAAAATTCAGAATTGCACACCTCTAAGCAACAAAAGAGCGCTTTGAAAAAAGAGAAGGAAAAAAAAGAAGGGAGGAAAAACCCACTCAACTTGCGATACGATAGTTCTCTGTCAAAACAGGATCATCTGAATTAGCCTCAATGAATTTTAGTGGAGAGTGAAAGAACTATATTAGCTTTTATCTTATACATTTTTATACCTTGTCCAACGTATGCAAGTGAGAATGATTGCATGGAGAAGACAATTTTTTCCTGTGGTAACAGAGGGCAGATAACATTTGTGATTCGAGATGACTTTCATTCAAGGATATACATTCTTATTTTTTGTATTTTTTAATTGATTTCAGCCCGGCTCAAGTATAATTTCAATTAATTTCTTCCGGTTGTTTCGAGTCATGCGCCTTGTAAAACTTCTTAGTAGAGGTGAAGGTATCAGAACACTGCTATGGACCTTCATCAAATCGTTTCAAGCTCTGCCATATGTTGCCTTGTTGATAGTAATGTTGTTTTTTATTTACGCTGTTATCGGAATGCAGGTTTGTTTTGTCTTTAACATCTTTTACGTTCATCTGTTGTCTGTCCCATGATAAAATATTTATCTGGATACACCTCACTTATATGAAGGATGATACAAATCCCTAGCCAACAGAAGCTCTGACCTACTAACTGGTTTCAATGCTGACATTCTCTAACTTCAGGAGGTAGAGATGAATGTAATCTTAGAGTCAATGAATGAAGTTGATAAAAAATCCCATATAGCCAAAGTTACAATCAATTGCAATTACATGATAAAGTGATTGCTCTCATATCAGAGTGCTATTTATGTTGTCTATTCACTAATTGAGGGAAGCTCCTCTCGTTGAAATGTGCCTATTCTGATAAAATTGAAATAAGTTACAATTTTTTTTCTACTGCATATTGCCTATCTATCTCACCCAGGGAACTCATTTTATTGATCACTCAAAGTTGGCTTTCATCATGGCTTCATTAAATTTTTGAAGCTTCAAAGATGAATCACCCTTTTTTTCTCATGGGATTTTAAATCAAAGGTCAAGGTCTGATTGGCATAATTTTTTATGCCGCAGAGTGCTGTTGCAGCTCTTGAGCATAATTTGTCTTAGTGTGTTCCTGTCTGAGTCGTTGGACTCTGCATTTTCTAAAAAATATTCAAGACAGCATTGATGAATTTTGTCCAGATTAGCGGCTTTTGATGAAGAGAAAACTAATTCCTTAAATGACCTCTGTTGTCAAGCAACTTGTCCAAAAAGATAACTTATCCACAAAAATTACTAGGTACTGACTTATAAATTATGATTACTCTCAGCAGATATTTTCAATTGAAACCGTGCAAAAAAAGCTTTTAAACATTGCAGTTTAGGAAAGACTTGTTTTTCTGTATTCATCTCATGTACCCTCTTTCATTTTTTAAATATTCCGCTGCTTATCTCCGTTTCATAATCCTCAGGTATTTGGAAAGATCGCTTTGAATTCCGAGACGGCCATTCATAGAAATAACAATTTCCAAACGTTTCCTCAAGCTGTTTTAGTTTTATTTCGTTCAGCCACTGGTAAGTTCAACAATTTTACCCTTCAAAATTTAAGCAAATTCCTACACTAAAATTGATGACTTCATCCATAATAGGGCGTATGAGCCTTCCAATTCTGCTATGATTGTGCATCGCAGTTCTCTAACTAAAGGAACCCATCCAGAACCCCTACCTTAAATTTTTCCCTGAATCCTCTCCAAATTTTTCTTCTCTATTGTGTAGAAGTAAATAAACTGTAAATGGATTTTATTTGCTGCCATTGCTATGAAAAGTTGCACAACCTTACCAGAGTTGCAGCCTCATATGCCCTTTTACCAAAGAAGTCCTCAATTATTTATTTGCTCCAGATTTCTATGCACATTAATCATGAAATCAGAAAATTTAGATTCATATCAGAATGTGCATGTTGGAGTGACCATTAGTTCTGAAAATGATCATTTTCTTATTTCGTATTTTTTTCTGAGAATAGAGAGCTGATGCCTATGCAAAATTAGTCATGTGCATATTAGAGCAACCTAAGTGCTGAAAATCTTAGGTCTTGAATCTACCCATTAGCATCAAATTAACTACGCTTGAAGGCTGTAACACAGCTCATTTGAGCCCAAGATGAATTAAAGCTCCTTGTTAAAACACCATCCTCATACAAGCAGTGTTGCAATCTCAAATTCTCAACAAATACTTGAAAGCACCACTGGTCCCTCTAAAAATGGTAAGGCAGAGTGATTATAAAAGAACTCAAACCTTCTCACTCAAAATCTCTCCTCCAAGCTCAGAAGAGTTTCAAAGGGAGACTTCCCCAAGTTGGACCCCGTTAAGCTACTGGTGAAGAAGAGATGTGATTTAATTCTAGGAGGCTTTTGCAAAGATGTATTCTTCACAAGAGGAAGATGTTGTTTTGCCAAGTAAACAATTGAACCAGCAGAAATCAGCCAATGTAACTTTGTTTGATTGATTTTCTTTATCATCAGCACTGCACTTACTCTGTGTTTATTATTTCTATCCTCAGGTGAAGCTTGGCAAGACATTATGTTGGACTGTTCTTCGCGTCCGGGTGAGGTGCGATGCGATCCAAGATCTGATGATGCCAATAACTTGAACGGCTGTGGCTCAGATATAGCATTTCCATATTTTATTTCCTTTTATGTACTATGTTCTTTTTTAGTAAGTATCTGCAGCCTATCCTCAGTTATTTTCCCATCTTTTTTTCCTGTAGGTAGTTTTTTCTGTATCTCATCCTTTTTCTCAAGCACATTCTCCTCCATGAAAACTAGCCATGAACCCAGAACAATCTTGTGTTGAATAAGTGTTATACTCAGGTCTTGCAATCAGGCATAAGCTGTAATTCATTTGTGCAAACATCCATTTTTTTGGTTTTTATCTACTTTAAACCAGTAAATCATCCATCAAAATATATGAATTATTTTCACCCTGCAGTAAGTATCAAAGAAAAGGTACACAGTATTTCTAAAGAGGCGTATGAAGTTTTAAGGATTGAGGTAAAATTCCTCACTAACCTAACCTAATCTAACTCGAGGTTTCCGGTAATTTGAGGAGGAGATTTTTTCGTGCTCCAAAAGATTTTGCCAAAAAGTCAAATTAGCATAGAAAAATAACAAGTGAAATAAGTCCATATTCCCTGTAAAATGCAGTTTCGTTCAGTGAGAAACGGGATAAGTACTTTCTTGCAGGGACGATGTGGAAATGTGGAATTCTTTATTTTCATAGGTTGCCGTCAATACAGCCTGCTGTCAGGTTAAACCACATAGGCGGCTACAAGTAAGTCTATGCAAGCTGAAATTTTGAGGGGGTGTTCATGGAGGTTTAAGACACGCACCTGTAACTGTAGGAGTATTTTTAAGGGCTGAAAAAGTCAGAATAGAGTCTGAATCTAGAATTTCGTTCTTTTCTAAATCAGAAAACCTGCCTTTTTGCACCTTGTCCTCCAAAGGCCTCAACTCTGCCTTTGCGAATACTTTGTTTATTCCAATGCAAGATCGTACAATAATTGTTTTTTTCATGTTCATAATTGCAGATTATAAATTTATTTGTTGCTGTAATTATGGATAATTTTGATTACCTGACAAGAGACTGGTCAATACTGGGGCCACATCATCTCGATGAATTTATAAGACTGTGGAGTGAGTACGATCCAGATGCAAAAGGCAGGATCAAGCATTTGGATGTCGTTACACTCCTTAGAAAAATTTCACCACCTCTAGGATTTGGAAAACTCTGTCCACACAGAGTTGCCTGCAAGGTATTTCTATTTTTAGTTTTTAAAATTTATCAATTTTGGGATTATATACCCATCTATGGAAGTTGAGATTAAATATGTAATCACAAAGAGAATTATTTATGTATTTTAAAAAGAACTCTCTGGCCTTAGCTAATTTCAACATAATTTTAAATACATTGATGGTGGAAGTGCAAAACCACATGTGTCCATTACGATGTTTCAAAATTTCAACTCCTATTTTATTTTTTCCAAAAAGAACAGGTCAACTTTATTAACTAGTTTTCCAAAGGAAAAATGAAGTATGACAGGAAGTCTATAATGTTGCAAATGGAGGTACAAGGTTTCGCACTTTAACCATTGATATGTAGGTACTTTTTACAAAGATTGAATGTATCGGTTGATTTTACGTACATTTTCTTGTCTTATACTTGTTAAAGTAGCAGGATGATGGACCATTAAGCAAGTTTACAAGCTTTTTACACTTTCTTACCAATCACTGTTGAAAATGTATGATAAAGGAGATAGTCCTAAATTATCAAAGTAATGAGTCCAAACAAGTTTTTAACATTTATCTACATTTTTTTTTTTTTGGCAATGCGCAGAGGTTGGTTTCCATGAATATGCCTTTGAACAGTGATGGGACTGTTCTGTTCAATGCTACACTATTTGCAGTGGTGCGAACATCACTACGAATAAAAACAGAGGGGAACATCGATGATTGCAATGAAGAATTGAGAGCAGTCATCATGAAAATTTGGAAAAGAACCAGCCGGCAACTCTTAGATCAAGTTGTTCCACCACCAGGAGGTAAAATTTTTTCTCCCTCTTTATTTTTTATTTCTGTCAAACAAATTCCTGTTTGTTTAAATGAACTTATAATAATATGAACTCTTATTTCACATTCCTCAAAAGGTATTATCATTGCAGATGATTTCAGAATTTTAGTAATAGAATTACAAACAGAAAATCACTTGTAAGAATGTTCTTGTCCGTTAATGTCTATGTGCAAGTGCCTCTGCAGGCTCTGCTGAAGAAAAATACCTCAATTCATCAATAGCAATGAATCTGTTTTTTAAATTTCTGTAATTTTAAATTTTAGATACTGTCGCCTTCTTTGAACCATGCTTCTCTTGAAAATTCATCAAATAAAACCATAACAAATGAACTGAATGTATCTTTCATGTTGGCTGCAGGCCAATATTATCGAAATTGGTCGTTGAGTATCATAATGATGAGCTGCTGAAATGCTCCACCCACAAAACCGCTGGGGGGCATATTATGTTGTATGTTTTTCAGCCATTAAAAAAAGTTATCCATTAAAATCTCCAAAGCCACTTTTTCTACCCAATTCAATTTGTCTCCCTAAACTAAGATGCCTTCTCTAGCAGACAGTCAAACTTGATAATACAATTGTAAAGGATCAAGCATTTACCTAACTCAGTATATTTCAATCTCTCTCGGATCAAATTTTGTCAACATTCTCAAGCAAACGGTTTTTTTCTTCTTATTTTTTTCCTCCCTCTAAAGAATTTATGACTTATGTATTTCATTCCTTAGCGAATGTGTAATTTTAATCTTATATTATGTTAATGTCTTATTGTTTGTACTTGCAGTTGATGATGAAGTTACAGTTGGTAAATTTTATGCAACATTCCTCATTCAAGATTATTTTAGGAGATTCAAAAAACGAAAAGAGCAAGAACTAAAAGATGGCGATAAGGAGTCTCACAACACCGTTACACTTCAGGTAAATCTGCAAGCCTTCTATCAGCACAAAAATTAAGTAACTGCTCATAACTCTCCAAGAAAATTACTCTACTGACAATTTTTTCTCTATAAACCAAGGTTTCTTTTCCTATGGACAATACAATGAAAACAATCTTCTCATCGTAATATACACAGTTCCTCTGTCATCACTTTTCGGTGACCCGTCAAATTAGTAAAACCCAGTTACAGAGAATATGGATTACTTGAAATCTTTGAAGAAATGAATATAGTTTTCCTTTGTCATTTGAAGTTGAATTGGTTTCTTTGAAATAGGCTGGTTTGCGAACTCTGCACGATGCTGGACCTGAATTAAAAAGAGCAATATCAGGCAATCTAGAAGAACTCATTGATGACAACCCTGAACCAATGCATCGAGTAAGTTTCTTTTATTGGGTATTGGTTTTTTATTCTGAAATTACGATAATTATTTTTTATTTTCGTCATGTTAACCCTCTAGAATCTTTGCATGGGTAACTGTACCTAGTGAATTTTAATGAACTTTTCCTCTCTTCACTGCTTCTTTCCTTTGTATATCATTGGAAAATTACAAACTCACTAACTGGAGATTTAAAAAGGAAATATATTAAATCCTTAGAATACCTCTGAAAAAAGCATTAAACAAACGCATGGGCAAACTGTTTGATCCAAGCATGAAATGCATCAAGAGTTGTGATATCACTCTTTGATATTGGGCCAGAAAAAACTGGTTTTGACCACTGGAAATTTACTAGTAAGCAAGAAAAAGTAATTGGATAATATATGTATGGTCAGTAGGAGGTGCTACTGTTCCTCAGGTATCTAACTGCATATTACCTGAAAGGGAGGAGCTTTTTTTCAAAAATGTGACAAAATCAATGTATTTGAAAATCATATTGCTACAAGTTGAAAGAAATAATCCCTTTGCCTCTAGCAAGTTTTATTTTATTATCTCTCCTCTTCCTCTAACCCTCACGTGCATCAATAATTTTAGTACCTATATCCATCATAAAATGTTTATGATTCTCTTATTTTCTTCTTTTTTCTTCTAGCGAAATCATTCTCTGTTTGGCAGTGTATGGTCCTCTATGAGAAGGCATCAAGGAAGTTTCAATCGCGCTCGATCTCTCAGACTGAATACAAGTCAAATTAAGGTATGTATCTCCTTGTGAAAAAATCTTTCGATGCTGTCCTCAGTTTTCAAATTTTGCTTCCATAGTAATGTCATCAATTTGATTAAAGTTAACTTATTGGATTAAGTGATAAAGGTTAGCTAGGAATAATTGTGTTGTTTTCTTATTTTAATTTCAGATGAATCATTTAGATGTGCCTGGAAGAAACCTTCGCAAGGTAAACTTTTATTTCATTTATCGTCTTAAAAATCAAATTCTTTTTATCATTCGCTCTTAAAAAATGAGGGAGGGAACTATCAGTGGATGAAGCCCGGAAAAAATGAGATATCCGCAGCAAATTGTATCACTAGCACTTCAGTTGTTTAGATGACTTGTGAAATTGAACTTTTTGAAGTTATCCCACCTTTGTCTCAAGAATAATAATGATCCACAGACATATGTTCAAAAAAGTCTGCCTCTATTGTTAGGTTTGTCATAAGGACCATTTTTCTGATGGTTTGACCAGGGCAAAACAGTTGCAGTGACAGGTGTTTGGTTTTTTTGATTTTGTGAAAATTATGCGATTTATTTACACTACCTTTGACGACCTTGTGAAGCTATGAAAATCAGACGTTGTTTTTTTAATCTCTTTTCTTTTTATATCTTTAAGTGAAAAAAGTGTTCTTTCTTTTTTCTTCTCAGGTCTCTCCAACAAATTCAATAGATTCCTTACCTTTCAACTCAATGCAAAAAGTTGTAACTGGAGGAGTAAATCATATAACTAACTTCACTCGGAATACCTTCTCCCCGCAGATAACAAAGTAAGTAATTGAAGCGCTGGGTGCAGAAAGGGCACTACTCGTTTGCTGTGTCTCAGAATCCCCACCAAAATTTCATTCTTTGTATTCAAAGCAAGTGTGCACAGTTTGTTGAAACTTTTACTGAATATTTTCCAGGACTATACAATCCTTTAAAAAAAACTTTTCAGAAATTCGCCCAATAGTTTTCTCTCAAAAATATAATTAGCAGTAGAGATTCTAAAATACTGCAGTCAAGAAGTGCTCTTTCTGCACCCATCACCACAATTTGTGTAATAATTTACTGACATTTGAGGTCAAAGTAACAAGAGTAAAAAGGCTCTCGGAATTAACTCAGAAAAAAAGAGAGAAAAAAAAAAAAAACTTGCATAGTGGTCAGAATTTATCCTCTTGGCAACTCTTTTCCAGTTGCATCAAGTGAGCTTGGAATGGACACTCAACTATTTTCTGGACTGCATTAAAACTGAAATGTTCTGTTTACCATCAAGAAATGTGTGATTACATTGGAAATGCTGTAGAATTCATTTATGTTGTAAAAAAAAAGCTTAAAGGTGGCTTTAAAATGAAGCGTAACTAGATGCTATATTATTGTCTGCATCATGATCCGAAAGCAATCTAGTTCTATTCATCCTCTATTAATTATTACCTTCTCTCTTCCTTAAACCTTTCCATAACTTTTTCACCTGCTTTTTTCCAGTGCAATGTCAATGCAAGACATGAAGAAGGACGATGAAGCGATGATTCCCCTTCAGCCACTCACTATTTCTAATTCTGGACCTCCATCTAGAGAGTAAGTAGCTTTTGGTCGCTGTTAATCCCTGTGTATTAATTATCTACTAGAATTCGTGGATCTCAATGAATGACTTCTGTGAAAGACTTTCCGGGAAAAGTGAATGACCCAAAACGAGAATTTAATTGAACTGCATTTTATTTGATGAGAACGTGAAAAAAGTTGATTTACTAAATCAATCATTACAAATATTTGCATTGTTGCAAATTCTTGTCACATACTAAATCGAAACAGAAGTCAAGGTGTTTTTTTCTCCGCTAGTAACGAGTCATGCGTCTTGTAGCATTCACCAAAGCAATCCATGTAATGCATTTTTCAAAGTGCATTTTGGACAGAAATAATTTTTCAACATCATATCTTTTCTCTCCTTTTTTCCTACCTATTTCAAGTGGGGATCAAGCTCCTCTCTTCTTTCACTTTTAACCCTTGCCAAATTTATAGTATGCTCCAATGAGTTAGTATTTAACGGTGCCGAATAATTTTCAGAAAACCTGTGATTGGTACTCAATATCTTCACCCTTATGCATATGGTAAGCTCAATAAACTTATGGTTTGGTTGATTTTAATTCTCGTCATTCATGCTTTTTGATCTAACCCTTAAAGATTTTTTCAGTCTATTTTCTTGATGAACTGCAACTGAACCAGCTCAAATTTAAACATTGAATTCATTTTTAACTAAACACAAAAAAATGGTACCAAATAAAAACTTGGGAATTTAGTGTTTTATTTGTAGTCCTCACCCTTTTCTAGGTTCCTCTCTTCGTTTATCTCTTGAGTTTTTCTTCAATTCAGTTTTGATTATATTTCATTTTTCACTTATTCATTTTTTCCCCGAATTATTAGAAGCTGTGACACCTTTCATCTATTCCTTAATTTTTTTATCAATTTTTTGCACTTTCCAATTGTTGAAATATGCATCAATACATAGACAAAAATTTGTTGGTTTTCAAGGGATTTACAGTAGGACGTAGAGAACCTTGGTAGTGTTTGCCAGTTTTGGTGATAGAATTGTATCTTTCCATTGAGTTTTTGTTTTATTTTTACTTATCATTAATTTCCCTTGCTTCATGTAACGAAACAGTTATTTTTAATCCTTTTATCGCAAAGGAATTCAGCAACTACATCTCCTCTTATTGCCAATACACTTCAGCTCTAATGTACTGAGGCCAATATACCTTAGTGTTACAATTATTAATCTGCTTTCAAGGAAAATTAGCCAATGTCTCAGACCTTATGATTGAATCATTGATTATACACAAGTTTCAAGTATTTTTGAAATGACTTTTAGCCTCTTATGTAAAAATATTTATCCAATCACGCAGATTCGTCTAACTAAAAGAACTGATGCAAAGAGTTTTGCCTTGACAGGAATTAACAGGATCTTTCTCTAGATGTTAGTGACGATAACTCATTTTGAAGTTATCACATGTTACATCACTGGAAGCCCATTTTTGCGTGTGTTTTTTCTCCTTTTTTGAAACATCAGGATGATGATACATTTATACCTTTCTTTCCTTTAAAATATGTTCTCTCTTCGAAGCTCTCTTTTAAATCTATCTTTTTCTTTTATGGACCAAAAACGAGTTCCTAGTAGTCTAGAGTGACTTTGTGTTTCGTTCTAATCAATTCTACAAGGAAAAAATTATCATAGTGTTAATCAGTCACTCAAAGGGATCATGTTATCATTATAAAAAAGGGTTATTTCAAATGAGTTACATTTTCCCTTGATAAACAAAATAAGTGTTATGATTTGTCAGCAGTTTTAATGAAGTCAGATAAAATAAGGAAGAAAAAAAATCCATGTTTTTTCCTCTCCTTCAAGAGAGATTCAATTTTTGCAAATAAGATAAATGAATATTTTAAAATACCAAAAATGTCTTCCAGTTTGGTGCCTTTTGGCTGGTCTTTCAACTCTAATCGTACAGGAGAGGATCCATTCCTCAATGGCACTACTGGTAACTCTGGTCCATGAAAGAATGCAGCCAATTTGTATTTTCTTTTTCAACTTTGTGCTGGAATTTGAGTTTTTGCATTTGTGTGATATTAATGGAATGGTTTTGGTGTTTGGTTTGGTGTGTGTAGCTCAGGTGGGGAGTACAGCCCCCCTGTACGTCACTCATCGCGATTGAGTTGCATAGCAGGTGAGGATTCTCCCACTAACTTTTCAAGGATCGCTGGCGGTCTAAAGCTTGCTCAGGCGCAAGCAATGGCTGTTGCGGTTGCTGGATTTCAGCTTTCTCCAAACAGCAAACGCTCACCGTTGTTCCATAGAGCTTCATTTCATGGCAGAGGTACTACCTGTTTGTGTAAAATTGATTATTTACCCTGATTGACTCTTTTTAATCCCAATATCCCAACTCCGCATGAATTCGTTGAGAAAGGGTAATCAACTGAGTTAATAATTGGACCGAGTTAAGCAGAAAGGAACCAACCACACATTTTGGAAAAAATTGAGTTATGAGTAGTTTCGAACTCAACCACTGCTCCACTATCTATGGCCAAAAATTCAAAGTTTTTCTTGGAGCAAATTTTGCAGAAATTGAACTTGAAGTTTATCTTTTACATTGAGTCTTATGCAGCAGCTAAACTTTAAAACCCTTTTTCTCGGTTCAATCCCGATGTGGCTTGATTCCTTTCTGTTTAACTCCGTCCAATTATCTATTGTAAGGTGACACCAATCAATTTTATTCACCATTGTAGAAATTAGACTCCTCAGAGAATTTTTTTTTTTGCAAGTAGGAACTCCTATTTTCAGCTTATTTTAGAAACAACGCATGTGTCACTAGTTTCCCTGACACTGCTTCCACAGATGAGTCAGAAATTGTATTTCCTAATTGCAAAATAAAGTCTAGCTGAACTTTCAATTTTTTCAGCCAGCTGGACAAAAACTGCTCTCATGATAAATTAGACTACATTTTGCAGATGGGAATTATTAATTTTGGCTAATCCACAAAAGCACCTATTTGCATAGGGAAACTATTGACACATATTTTGTTCGTGAAATGAACTGAAAATTAATGTTCCGTTCTGTAAAGTTTAGTCCAATTTACCTTTGCACCATGATACCATTTCCCCTTGACAGTCACACATCATAAATTCAATTAGTTCAAATCTTAATCCAGGTTGAATATTTTGTCATGCAGGTGATGATCCAGACGGAACCAAAGCTGCTGAGAGACTTGCTCGCTCTCTTCCTGGTAGTCCAGCCGACCGGAGACCAAATTTTCCTGAAGTAGTTGGCTCCGCAGAAAGTCTTGTCGGCCGAGTAAGTTTCTGCTAGAAGCATACTTTATCATCTTTCAATTTTTCCAACAGAGAAATTTAAGACAGAATTGCTTTGTCCTCAATTAGTATTGAAAGGAATTTGATCTCAAGTATCATTTGTAGGGCTGTGTGAAGAGTGAATTTTTCGAACGAAGCGAATAGCGAATAGTTGCCGAATAACGAATAAGCAAATAACGAATAATTTCAGTCAATTATTCACAGTTACGAACAGTAAAACGAATAATTGGAAATTACTTTTTTAAGTGTGAAAATTCGCGAATATTACAAAAGTCGACAAAAAAAATGTGACTAAGTCTTTCAATCCTTAATTTGGGCTCTTTGCTTATTCTCCCAATCGCAATCGCGCTCTCGTAAACTCGGCAAAGTCGGTAAAGATCAAAGGAGATCCGCCGTTCGCGATGTCTCGGGAAGAAGCGGAAGCCTTGCGCAGGTCCTCGCAACGTTACACGATTGCCACTCGGAAATTCGTTATTTTTGCTGGCGCGAATATTTGAAAATTCATTCCTCGTGACGGCGTGAATATTTGAAAATGTCAGTTCAAAAATTCACTATTCGCGACGGCGCGATTATTCGCAATTTGCGAATAATGCGCGAGGCAGACGAAGCGAATATTCGCCGAATATTCGCGGCGCGAATAGTCGGAATTGCGAATATTCGCACAGCCCTAATCATTTGGTATTGATAGTAGACCACTAGCTGAGGTACGAATTTAAGCAATCTGATGTGTGTTCTCTCTTCAAAATTTTACTTGAAACACGATTTGTGCATCAAATATCATTGAAGTTTACTCCTAACTGAGGAACCAACATTTTCATGCAGCACTGGTCACGAAAAATTTGAATTTCTCTCTCACAAGAAAAATACCAGAGTCAACATGATTCAAATTGTGCCCTTTAAAACGGCTTTTGAAGGCTCCGAATTGAGCGGTTTTCGTTTCCCACCAAGTGTTTTTCAAAAATTAATAAACATACAACAGCTGAGATGAAGGCTGAGATTGAAGTTACCATTTTCATTTCATTTTAGCAGTGTAAAGCCAAGTTGCTCATCAGGTTAAATAAACTACACTAGCTTACTTTGCTGTGATGTATGGAAAAGTGTTTGAATCTGTCGAAATTTTCAGTAAATTATTTAAAATCTTGCTATTATAGTCGCATTATTTCTGAAAATGAATTTTTACTCTGCAGGTCCTCGCTGAGCAAGGACTAGGGAAGTTCGCTGACCCTGACTTTGTGCGCAACACATCAAGGGAGCTCCAAGAGGCGCTGAACATGACTGAGGAAGAGATGGACCGTGCTGCACACCAGCTTATGGTTGCCGAGCGACAGGGTCGCTCTTTTTCGTTTCAAGACTATAATTCTTCATCACAAAACCCTCCATTATAGCACAACGCCTCTTCCTTCAACCAAGTGCCTGTATTTATTCCCCATCCTCACCGGATTGTCATTGTTCTCCAATATATAAATGCGAGCATAGCTGGACTTTGTTCTGCAAATTTAAATGGGGGCCTCTTTCATAGCAGACTCTTTTTTTCTTTATCTTAGAACTCTTTTGTAGTTCTTTAAAGTTAGTGTAAATCCAGCAGTGATGGATCAATTTAAAATCAACAAGAGATGTATTTACTATTGAAATTGATTTTCTCATCAAACTAAAATGATGATCACACTGTTTTACATTGCCCCATTTCTCAATTTCAATATTTTGAAGAATCGTTTCAGATTTGCCGATTTCTCACAGCTGACGTTATTAATCACACTGAGACTAAATTTTGACTTTAGTCGTAGAAACATTGCTGAAATGTATCAGTCAAACTTAAGTAAACGTCAACTACATGGGCTCAATGAACTAGCTTTTATTATGCACCTTTGAACCAAAAAAGGTTCCTATATATTTGTATCCAGAGTCATGGAAGAGGAGTTCCTGAAACAAAACGTCAGTAGTTGAACTCAATATTCCTCATTCAAATGGTCACTGAATCTTGACTGAAACTCCTGATTCTAAATTTTTTATATTGCTCATTCTTTAATTTAATTTTCTACTTTGATTTTCTCTCGCAGGGTGTCTACAATTTTTGAAGTTAAAAGACTTTAGATAATGTTAGAAGACCTCTGATTAGAATAGAATTTACAATTTTTCATGATTGCTCCAGAAATTCGTAGGAGATCTTATAAAAAATTCTCATCGTTTTAGATGGGTTGACCAATGTTATTTTTCTTTATTAATTCATTCATTTTTTTAATTTTTTTTTTAACTAATACCTGTTCAAAATATGTGGTTAGAATTTCAATAATTTAACCCAACATTTCTCTTAAATTGTTAACAGGAATATAAAAAAAGTGAATACTAACATTTACTTTCTTGTGCTATTTTAATAGTTTGAATTATGCAATGTTCTTACCAAATTTTCAAGTGACTTTTGAAATTCAAGCATCACAGCTTGATGAAAAACATTGAAAAAATTACCTCAGTTGCCTACTAGATGCATGATCAATTATTCAATAAGCACCTTATTAGTAACCAAAATACTTCACAATGTTCATACTGAAGTAAAATAGTGGAACAAAGTGGTTATTTTGAAAGAAATTTTGGAAAAACATGCAATTGAAAATTTTATGCACTTCTATTTGTCATAAGGTATCTTTAATATATAAACTTTTGCAGCTTAAATTTGTGAAGTTTGAACCAATTCCAAAAAAATTTCTTTACCTATTTCCTTGGAGCTGAAATGATCCCAAAAAATTAATCCTTTCAAAAATTGTAGACATTTAGGTAAGAATTGGTGAGTTTGACGCTATTTTTTGGCATCATAGCAAGCCATGAAGGAAAGGTTGTAATTCAAAGCTCACAATTTCCATAAAGTAGTGCTTTCATTGACTGAATGGGCCACTAGACAGGGTAAGAATTAAAACACAATACACATTTCCTTGACAAAATTTTATACATGACACAGAAAACATTTTCAAAATTAACTTACCCAGCAATAAAGTGGCTTATCGTGTTGGAATTAGAATCTGGCAATACCTACCAAATGCCTGCTCTTGGGGAGAGTAGAGTTGACACAAGTCAAGTGAACATAAAAGTGAGGCAGATCACTGAAGTTTTTAAAAGAAATTTCCTTCCTCTAATGCACGCGTAAGCGTGGTGATTGTACATCTCCTACCACATGAAAACTCGTCCAAAAGGACATTGGTACACTAGGGAAACCATTTGGACTTAAGTAACTCATCAACAAAAATTTATTTTGTCCTTTGACTCACGCAGACGTTAGTTTTTTAATCCAGGAGACATCTGAATTCATACACAAAGAACGTGTCTTTTTCTTACATTCTCTCCCTCTTTGCGACTTTGTAAGGACACCTCACAGAGGTCGATATCTATTTAAGCGTACCACAAAAAGTGGGCCAAAATTTGGGAAACAGTTCTCAGAACATATTGAAGAAATTCCAAATCAAGCTGCTTTCCAAGAATACCTCCCAAAATTCAGCTGCAGCTTGATTCTAGCTCAGTATTAATGGCATGGCAAGTCATTAAAAGTTTGCATGTTACTTGCAGGTATGGCAAAAACTCCCCAATTCTTTTACCATTCTGTTCTTGGCATTAATGTGTGTTTGATAAGGTATCTTTGTATTGATTGTTTTTGATGCAATTTTGTGATACATATCCTTCTTTTTTCTCTTTTTTTTCTTATTAATTCAAGTTTACCCCCTTTCTTGTCATATGTTGTTACAACTCCAGCAGCGCAAGGGAAGAAACACTTCGTTAAGAATTCAAACATTTGAGTTACATTAATTATAGTTTGGTACTTTGAAAAAATCTCCTGCAGTTCCAGTCTGAACGTTGTAAGTGAGGAATAAAATTTTTCAACAGAGTTGAATAATTTGTCCATTAAGCACCTGTTTCTATGAGTACCTACATGGAAGTGGTGAATGAACTCGAAGATCAGAAGATAAACCGAAAAGATTGTCCTGTGCTGTTGGTGTTGGTGAAAGTTAAATCCGATTTTTTCATCCCCTCTTCTAAAAAAATTTAAATTGTTTTCTCATCATTAATTTATGGTAACTTTAAGGAACCAAAGATAAAAAATGCCAATCGTGGTAAATGTTTTTACCGTTCCTGCAGAGAGGTATGGAACCACCTTTTATAAAGGCTTCGTTTTTTACCTTTGTTTATAAATTTTATTCCCTCTTTCCTCTTTTTCATTGTACAGATTTCTTTGTTTCCTTGATGAATGTTTGTAAATAAGAATATTTTGTTGTTGTTTATAAGAATTACCTGATAGGTACATGTATTGTTGTTTTTATACCTACTTACAAACGGAGTCTACTATTCTCAAGTGGAGTCTGTTCAGAAATTCTGCTCCTTATGAGTAAGTCTTGGTTCTTGATACCCATGCTTATCATGCACAAACCACTAAATAGTCTCAAATTCTTGCATCAATATTTTCTACTTAATTTCTTTGTAAAAATTTACAATTTTGTTTGTAATTTAGACGAAAGGTCTGTTCAAAGCATAGCATGACTCTCAATAAAAGAGACTTAATAATGAGATTTCATTTGAGGATGATTAATCTGTATTAACATGTGGAGCTGGTCTATGGTTAATCACCAATTCTTTCTGTACCATTTCGCTTTTTAAAAGAACTGCAGAAGTTATCTGTCTTTAAATGTTAATGATTTCAGTATCATCATTTTTAGATGAATTTCTCGAGGGAAATCCTGTTCAGTTAAAAGAAAAAAATTACTAAATCACTGAAAAATGTAAATAACAAGTCCCAAGTCCCTCATTAAATACAAAAGTCTGAAACATGAAGGGAAATATACAATGTTAATACCTCACATGAATTCAGTAATTATTGAATCAACTGAGGTAGGTACACATTTTCCTACTTTTCCAGTTCCGTATTACTTTCGTGTTATTAGCTCAACAAAAGTACCTATTGTCTTTTTAAATCGTCTATATCTTATCAATCGTCTCTTAATTTATTCTTTTATTATTTATCATCTGATTGTAGATCACCAAATATTTTTTATTGTTACTTTAATCAGAAAAAGTTTCCATTGACTAGCTTGAATATAATATCAATTTTTTCCCCACCTTATGAATTTACGTATGAATTTTCCTCTGTGCATCTCTCTCCTTGCTCTGATTAATGGAAGTGACCTCCTCTGCTCCTTAAAAGAAAAGGAAAATATGAGAGCTGATTTATTTCTTTACGTAAAATGCCATTGAAAGTAGTTGTTTTAAAGTTTCTCCCAGAAGTTTTTTAATTCCTTGTTATTATTTGCTGCCATACATTTTATACAACAGATAGTGCTAATCATCTTGACGAGACTGTTACTCAGTACATCTTTGTCTCTAATTTATCATGGAAAATTCGTAAAGTTCTTAAGGGACACGGTTGATAAAAATACATAAGTTTTTCTTGTCAACAAATTATTGCTGCCCCAGTTGTTCTGATGAACAAATTTTATAAATTTCCTGGCCTCTAAATAATTAAATAAGGAATGGACTTGACAGTTAAAAATTAAAATCCTATCACCTTTGTAAAAATTGGCTATACAATGGAATTTTGAAACATAGGTCAGCTATATGATTAGTCATAGCATGAGTAGTCCGGCCATTGGGTCAAAAAGAAATCATATAGCAGGGCTACGCTATGCAAGCTACAACAAATCCTGTAGTCAGGCTATGTGGGCTATGATAAATCACATAGCCAGGCAATGTTTCAAAATACATTGTGGGTGCAGCCAATTTTTGTTATTTGATCAATATTTAGTTTCCAAATATTTATCTCAAAGGTGAAATAGTTGGTTGTCAAATGGTCAAATTTGCGCCCATTAACATGCTGCATCCAACCACTAAGATTCTCTCTTATTACTAATATTACCATTCTTTGTACACCATTCATGTCTACTGATTAGACCACTTACATTTTGCAATGAGGAACTAATATTTCTGGCTCATTTTAGAAACAACTCATGTGCCATAGGTTTCCCTATGCAGGTAGGTGCTTCTATGGATGAGTCGGGAATAGTAGTCCTTAATCGTGAAATTCAGTCCCATTGAGTTCTGGGTAATGCACAGGAGATCCTTGTGACCTCCATAGATAAAATTATTTTTTTACACTATTACAGTGTTTCCGGGCCACACTGTTAATTAATTAGTTTTCATATTTATGAGTAATTCATTAATGTGTTGTATCAACACACTATATTGAAGTTTATCGTTTTTGTATTTTTATTTTTTTCAATAGTGATAGAGGTGCAGGGAAAATAATGTTTCAACTAGATCTGCCAGACTATGGTGCAGTTTTCCGCAATGAAATTTGATTTGACTTAATCCACACACTCACTTGACTTTAATTTATATAAAATTTGTATATTTCCCTACTGTGTTGAAGACCAACAAATATCTGTAAATGGGGATCAAATTTCGCACATGCTCTCCTCTTTTACTGTTTTCTTTCCTGTTTACTTGTCTCCAACTGAATCTTTGCAAGAAAAGTGGAGTTTCTAAAATTGTTATTTTGGTCTGTAACTGTAAATTATTTTATACTAATTATTCTGTAATAAAGAATATTGAACAATACACACAAAAAATTTTAATTGAAATGCAAACGCAATAATGGCCTCCCTAAAGATATCGCCCTCAAGACTTCCTTGTGCCTCAAAATATCCTCTTTTAATCTGCTATAAATTGGATAAATTCGAACACATGGGATTGAATTGCATTGCGATGTTTAACTCGTAAATATCGTTATCTGTGTCTCCATCGATGAATAAAGAATAGTTTGTCAGTTGAAACTTTGCAATGCAATGATGGCCCTCAACTCCAATCACCATGTCTCAATTTTTCCAAAAATTCCTGATGGATGTCTTTAGCCAAAAGATTAATCTACAGAATGAAAGATGAAAAACTACTGGAGTAAAATAAAATTGCTCTGCTGTCTTGGTAGATATCAAGAGAATGAAAGGATACGTAATCAATGTGGGGGGGAAAAATTAACATGAGTATTATTAATTGTATAAATACTTTTATTCTAGAGTTACAAACACAGTGTTGCCTGCTGATGAACTCTTAAAAAATAGTGAACCAATTGTAACAGAACCATATAAATTATTATCTCTATTTACAAAACAATTTAAAACTGTAAATTAGATTTTCTCACTAGAACACTTACAACTGAACAATTTAGTAGTAAGCAAAAACTCAAACTTCTTTACCTATCATAGGCCTGGATTACAATTTTTGTGGGTACTTGACGCATTACCTGTGTGCTTATCGGACAAAAAATCTTACTTGTTACATACGTAAAGGTATTTTATTTTTCCTGACACAACCTCTTTTGATGAAGTTCTAGTAGGTGTGTATAAGTTACAAAAATAAGTTAAAAAAAAAAAAAAAAATTGGAAGCATGACGTCAGAGTTACGATGATACATATCTCTGTTGATAATTTCAGTTAGTTAAATGAAAATAGGTACTATCCCATTTATATAGGTACCTCTGTTTGACAGAAAAATGTATCTACTTCTGTAGGAAGAAAATAATGTCAGGTCATACACTTAGCCCTCAGGTAAATTTAAAATGCCACAGTGTTCCTTCAAAAATTGAAAAATAAAATTAAAAAAAAAAAAAAAAAAAAA